CAATGGTAGTTGAGAATAATCAATCCTACAAAAGGCGGCAACCTTTTGTAAACTTTGCTTAACAAATGTTTCCCCTGATGGAGTTTTATTTATATGCTCAGGTAGAAGATTCAGTTTGCGTACATCTTCAGGTGTCACCTTCAAAGATAAGAAGATGGAAATAATACTCTCAAATTAATATGGTGAATGAACAATGGATAATAAAAAAAATACAAGTTATAAAAAAATGTCGGAAAGAATTACCAAGGTGCAGTAGCACAGATTATATGCCATCATAATTGACGGATACAATGAAGCAAAATCCAGAGTTGCAATTGGCTTTTCATAGAAACCTGTTTTTGCTTCTAAAACCTGATAATCAATTCAAACATCCAAACAACAGACATGTCACTATGTCAGACCAGTGGAATATTTTATCACTAACAATGTGTTTTCCCGCGAATCACCAACTTACAGTTGCGCCTTCAAAAGTTCCTTGTTCGGATCCCGACTGTTTAGCATTCGGAAGTAGCATGTTCTTCTGTTTAGCTTTCCTAAGAAGCTGAGACAGAACCTAGAAAAAATGTTGGGATACAAAATATCAGCCACCATAGTCAACTGTAACATTACTCCAGAATCTATTTAGTTGAGAACTACCTTGATACTCTGTCCTCTAGCAAGAAGAAATGAAATAGGGACACCAGTTACACGAGCCATTTCTACATAATTATATATATACATCAGTTTGTCCAGAAGCCTCTGAGGGAGATATGCATCCTGTAACAGCAAAGAGGAACGTGGTTAAGCTTGACCTTTTCATAAGACTCAGATGGTTGACTATTAACAGAGAAAGATAATTGAAACCATATATAATGAGACCAAATAGTTTCCGCAATAACAAAGCTATCCCTAGAGCAGATATAAAATTTGACAAACCATGAAAAACAATTGGGTGGGACTTGTGACCACATGCAATAGGACCATTAGCTAGTTAAACAGAAATATCTACTAACAGGCAATGCAACAAGTCAGAGGCAGCAATACTCCAGAATAAACAAAAAGTAGGTACCTTCAAACAATAAACAGCAAGACGCCTCCTAGTTTCTGCATTCCCATTCTGGAGATCGGTTATTATAGAATGGTGGACATCCTCTTTCTGAAGAAGACAATCATGTTAGGCACATAACAAATGACAAAGAACTTGAAATTATAACCATAATTACTCGGTTTCACCTGTTCTGAAAGAAAGTGAGCTGAGACAGAATTCAGCGAATAAGAACTTAATTTGTAATCTCTGTGTATTGCCTACAATGATTTAAAGAAGAGATAAGTAGATGTCTTTGCGTTTAACTATATATAAACAATTTAAGAATGACTCAACCAAAAACAATTTGATAGGGACAGAAACCTGAAAAAGGTCAAACTGAAATCGTCCTTCGATTGTGGTCTCTTTACTTTCCCTTGTTCCTTGTTGTCTGAAACATGGCACGTGTTATTATGGGAAGTAATATAATACCAAATGATGAGAGTTTAGAGAACTCATTAACCACGAAGAGCATAACAAAAAAAATAAAGGAGAAGGCGATGGCACTTTGCAAACACCAGTAAAATCTACATCACCTTGATGAAAACGTTGAGTCCCTGACCCGGACCCTACTGTTCTTTACACGACCAAGAAGAGGAAATTCCTCTATTCCCAGTGTTGCAGCTCTCTGAAAATCAGTAAACAGTATAGTTTCTAGGTAAAGATTTTCAACACAGCGGAATATAGCAAAATACTATATATAGAATGCTATAGGAATGAAAGAGCACGCTTCTAATAACCAGCGGTGATATAATGATACGCCAATAAAGATAGAGGTTAATATTCAAGTACCTCAATCAGATAAGGTAAATCGAATTTACAGATGTTATAGCCAATGAGGATATCAGGATCAACATCACGAATAAAATCCTGCGACCAATATGTATTATCCATCAGCATGCTTCACCAAGCCCACCACAAAATTTCAGTGGCAACATAAAATTTAATAAATCCTTCAAGTCCTTCCGGATTTTTTAAAAGAGGTAAATTGTAACAGAGCTTGATTTTGCAAGTGAAGGAGCCAAAAACAGAAAAAAAGTAGTTAAGGGCAAGTAATGCACACGTGGTAATAAAAGATGAAAGGAGGAAAAAGGAATTACCCTCCAAGCTAGTAAGACCTCTCTTTCTGTTTCAAAAGACATGACATCTACGCCTACGATTGGAGCACATGACTTAAGAGTCATGACATTACGTACAAATGGTTGACCCTCTCCCTGAAGCGTTACAAGGTTCGCTATCTAGAAAAACAATGAGAGTGTTGTTTCAAGAGGGATGAGAAAAAAGGTATCGAGAGAGATATCAAAATATCGCAAAACAGCTAACCTGGATCACAGGATCATGCTTAGCCTCTGGAAAGTGTCCTTTGCGACCTGCACACTCAATGTCGAAACTTAGTACACGGAATGGAGCCATTTTTGAGTATTCGCCTTCTGCAGCATGACTGATCAAATCTGAGTATCTAAAACACATGTTAAAGAAAGTAATGACATAAAATAGAAACTGCTACTAGATAAAAAAAAAATGCTTCAAAATTGAAACTCAGATATCTAAGATGAGGATACAGGCAATGGAACTCCAATTGGCAGTATGACAAAGTTCTTGCATCCTTCTTATATTTCCCAGCAGGTACTTCGATCCAATTTCCTCCCACAATATCGCGGTCAACCATGAAACGGAGAGCAAAAACAATATTGCTCTCGTATGTTTGGAAGCTCTTCGTACCCAGTCCATCAATATGAATGCCTCGATCAAGGATGCCTACCAAATTAATAAACGCTCTGAGAAAATAAGAGAGTCAAGGAGATAGTAGACCGAAAAAGCACAAACATTTGGTAATCATACCGCGGCAGCTAGCCACCATAGTCGGCAATGCAACTGTAATCTTCAGGAAAGTTTGGAATTTTTGCTGTTGGTAATACATAATGCTTCTTTTTTGCACCATTTCAATATGACGAACAAATTTCGGAACGTTGGCATTTTTATTGGATTCCCTCATCCTTCCCTGAATGAGTCAGATGAGCATTTACAAAAAGCCAGGGAGGGAGATCAGACTACAAAAATCTCAGAGATTCAATTGACCGGAATGGTAAATACCTCAAGACTCTGATGAAAGTGAGAAATATCGTCTGGCCCCATTCCAGGAGGGCAAGCAATGTAAAAGTATGGCTCAAACCCATGGACATAGCAACACACACTATGACCTGAAAAGATACCAGACATGTGACTATGTAAGTTCATCACTGAAAGGCAAATGCGAGAACAAATATAGCTTATCTATGAAAGAAAATCGTTCTTCAGTTCATATTCAACCATCTCTACCTCTTACACAGAAGACATAACAAAAGGGGGAAAAAGAAATTTCAACACTGATAACAAAGCAACCAAATAATTCGATAAAGCTCAGGTATTGAAACTCTGTCCCTACAAACGAAACATTTAGATTTCTGAATCGGCCCGGAGAATCATTGAAGGCGTACCTTCTCTAGTTACCCCAAAAATCCTGATGACTGCAGCTTGCCCTGAGGAACCGGGTAACAGCTCCTTATGACACTCCTTAATCACATAATCAATCTCCAATTGCTGAAAGACTAACAACCCAGAGATCGAAAATGATGAGCACTTGCCAGCATCGTAAGATGAAGAAAACCCTAGAAAAATTAACAGTGAAAACTCAACTGATACTCTGCGAATTTGAGAGATAAGCGGGTGAGAGAGGAGGACGAGCCCAGGTCGAGGACCGTGCCGATACCGCTTCACGCTCCTCCATATCCCGAAGGATTAGGGATTCCTCGTTCTCTTCGTCCATGAACACATCCTCGTCCACAAATTCATCCTCTAGGGTTCCGACCGCCGGAGATGGTGTCGGATTACCCGTGGCTCGATGCTTCCCCGCCGGTAGGGTATTGGACGGAGGCGGTCGTTTTTTGGAGTTTCCGCCTCTATTCATGGCTTTTTAGATGAGCGGGAAAAAAGTGGGTGTTGTGGGTGAGTGAGTGAACTCGTCAAGGTCTGAGACCAAAAAGGGGGAAGATTAAGCCACTGCGATTCCCGCCACTTTTTTAAGGGTTTTGCTCTCCGAGAGACATCTTCTTTATCATGTCTTTAATACAAAATGTTTTCAACTTTTTCGTATTGTTATTGCATTTCTTTTGAACTAGAAGATTTGATGTTCGGATTAGTTAAGCAAGTGATAAACCCATAGCCCAAATGTTTAGGCCTTTCAAAAGGCTTAGAAAGGTTCGGCCCAATTATGGCCCAGATTCAAAGGTTTACTGTCGCAAACGCTAAAAATGGTAACGAACCCACAAGTACCGGGGCGCGTTGCAGTGCACGAGAGCCTTGTTAGAAGATACGATATTTTCGTTTTTTGGGAGTTTTGCCTATTGGAAAAAAATCTTCATGTACATCAGCAAATACGATTTTTGTTTGGGGTGTAACATATCATATGAATATGATATAGTATTGCGCGTTACAATGGATGATGATATTACAGGGACAGAATTGTAATTGCCAAATGATGGGATATTGTGGTGTTTTTTTCTTCCTTTTGCATCATAAATAAACAGAAAATATTAAATTTTGGTATATTATAGGTTCCAAAACCCTGGTATTGTGAGTTATTTTGTATTTTGTAGCGTTTGTCTCTTTTATACAATTTCATTGGTATTATTTTCGTCCCACGGTGATACTTGGTTACTGGTTATCTTGGTTCAACCAACAATTCAGCCGTATTGCTTGCCGCTCGCGTCTAAACAGTTTTAGCGACCCTTCATTGCTTTTTGTTCTTTCTTTCAAAAATAAAAATGATGTGATGACTTTTTTCTTCTTAAAAAATAATGAAACAAAATGATGTGATAAGTGATACCAATTAAAAAATATATATATTATATTTGACCAAAAAAAGGGAAAAAAAGCATAATTTAGGTTAAACCAGAGAGAGAGAGTAGAGTATATACGCACACGCACGAGAGCATTTTGTATTGGAACTCAGAAAATCTTTCAAATTTCAAAAAGTCAAAGGAAAGGCGGGATTCCAAACATTCTCTTCGTCTCTCAGTCTTCTCTCCATTATTACAAATCGATCGGGAAACGCACGACCCATCCCCAGAAACAGGTGTAGCAATGGCGGAAAATACGGCCAGCAATAGAAGAAAGCCTCAGAGCTTGAACGATCGACACTATCGTCTCCTCCAGGATCTTTCTGCGGCTCCTAAACAGCCTCCATCTTCTTCCCGTACCCAGATTCTCCTCTCTTTCTATTCGATTGTTTGTCTGTGGCTTCGGATTCGTTTCCGTCACCGGTTTTAGATATTTTATTATTTTTTGGGGTTTCAGATGAAGAAGACGAAGGAACGAAAAAGTCCATGACTAAGCTCGCTGGTAGACGTCGTCTTTGCAAGGCATCGCCAAAGGAAGATGTAGCCGATGAAGATGACGATCCTGATTTGGTCGATTTTGATTCCCCAGGTAATCCTGAGCTTTCACCCGATTCTTGGGTTTTTTGGGCATTACCCAATTTTCTCCGTTTCAAAGAAATGAGTATTTTTTAACTGTCGATGTATTCAAAATCTGCTTGAATTTAGGGTTATCTGAAATCTGGGTTTGTAGTCAATTGTTAGATTCTCGTTCTTTACAGCTGCTGCTATACTGCGTCGGATAAGTTTAATCGAATGCGTTTGTCTTGTATGATACTGGATTCAGGTAAAGGAGATACACCACACGAGAGAGCTGGAGCTGAGAGTAAATTCACATCTTGGGATGAAACAAAGGAAGCTAACACAGAGATGGGTGACGAGCCCAACTTTTCGATAATCACAGACTTTGGTTCGCCCTCACCTCAGTTCAAGCAAACGGAGGAAAGGCAAAATGGTGGTGGAGAGAATGAGATTCTGGATATTTTGGATGATCTGACCTCTAAGCTTGGGACAATGTCGATTCAGAAGAAAAAAGATAATCAAAGGAGTGACTATGATGCGGATCCAGTTAAGAGCCGGGCTAATGATTTTGAGAGCGTCAAATCCTCATTTTCCTTGATATCGGATCTTTCCGGGTCCTCGTCTGATAGTCTCAGTGGCAAGCAAGGGAATGTTGGTTTTGCCATCCGGGAAGAGAAAACTAGTTATGAGTTTGCAGGCGAAAGGGGAGAAAGAATTTCAAATGTGGGAAAGCAAAACTCGTTTTCTGGCCAGCACAATCTTGACCGTGGTAAGGGCCAACGTAAGGAAGCCAACCAAAGTTCGAAGACGACCAAACATACAGAGGTCAGTGAGAAGCTACGATCCGTCGGAATGTCAAATGCTGCTAAGCTAAGAGAGTTAGACGAGGATGATGATGATGATGACTGTGTCCTTTTGACTGGGAAAAAGGCGGCTGAAACGAAAAACCATATTGAAAAGCCTAAGAAGCCAGCTCGGTCTTACAACATTGAAACACATGGTTATGAGGAGAGAGTGTTGGAAGATGAAGGATCTATCACTTTACCTGGCCCCAAATTTTCTTACAAACTGGTTGGAAAGATTGCAACGATGTTATATCCACATCAGAGGGAAGGGCTCAAATGGCTTTGGTCATTGCATATCCAAGAGAAGGGTGGAATTCTTGGGGACGATATGGGTTTAGGCAAAACCATGCAGGTAAATAAATTTGCAACCTACACTTTCTTTTTTCTTTTCTTTAATAATTTAATGATGATTTCGGTTGTTTTGCATTACAGATTTGTAGTTTTCTTGCTGGTCTGTTCCACTCTAAGTTGATCAAACGTGCTCTCATAGTGGCACCAAAAACCCTGCTGCCTCATTGGATGAAAGAATTAGCTACTGTGGGGCTTTCACAAATGACTAGGGAGTAAGATATGTTTTTTTGATTTTGTCATTCACTAATGTGGTTGAATTTTTGTGTTACTAACTTTGTTTCTTTCCTTTTTGAAGATACTACGGAAATTCTACGAAAGCCCGAGAATATGATCTTAACCACATTCTACAGGTACCTGTTCTTTCTTCCATCATTAGCCTAAGAAGTATCACTAATGACTTAACTATGCAATCGTATTTCAAATACATTTTGACTTGAATTGTGACTAGAAGATAAACAAGGAACTCGTACAGGAATCTGTGCAATTTTTAGCATTTAATTGCTTACACTGTTAGCCTATCCTGTAGTTAATCATCTTTATCTGTAATTCTGTATAGCAGTATAATATTATTTAGATTTATCAAGTTGAGAATATTTTATCATTTTTTTCTTGGTCCTGTTCTCCTCCAGATAGTTAATTTTTTAATTGCTTTGGAAAATGGTTAGGATTTTAAGCTGAGATATTTGCTAACTTTTGTAGGGTAAAGGTGTCCTTCTAACGACATATGATATCGTACGGAACAATACAAAGGCTTTGCAAGGTAACCACCTCTATACTGATGAGGATGACGAAGATGGAATAAAATGGGACTACATGATTCTGGATGAGGTAAATCCACATCAATGTTTAATCATTTGTGAGATCTGGATACTAAAACTTGTCCAAGCCGGAAACCGGTGTGTGTATGCATTATGATCAATCAAACACTGAGATGCTACCATCAGTGCATGTTTTGACCTTTCACACCGATATCAATATGATGCATTTCCGCTTACATTTCTAGGGACATCTTATTAAGAACCCCAGCACACAAAGGGCCAAGAGTTTGCTTGAGATACCAAGTTCTCACCGTATAATTATAAGTGGTACACCGATCCAGAACAATCTTAAGGTATTGTCTGTCACATTTAACGTTGGTCAATATCTTTTCATCTATGAATATATTCTTGCAATCCTCATGCCGGCTATAATAAGTTCCATCTTCATATTTTACAGGAATTGTGGGCTCTCTTCAACTTCAGCTGCCCTGGGCTACTTGGTGACAAGAATTGGTAATCCTTCCACCTAATCCAGATTTGTCAGAGTACATTTACAAGCTTTCTATTATTAAGCCATTTAAGATTTCACAGGTTTAAGCAGAATTACGAGCATTATATTCTTCGTGGAACTGACAAAAATGCCTCTGATAGAGAACAGAGGATAGGCTCAACAGTAGCAAAGGTGAAGAATTCAATTCAAATATGTTTGAGTGGCTATGCCTTGTTGAATCTAGCTCTTTTCTATGATTTCTATTGATTGTGTTTCCTACTAGCAGCAAATGAAAAGTTTTCATATGTTACAATCTCAATCCTAATATCTGTCTACCATTTTTAGCATGAATCAATTACACAGAAAACATAGCAGAAATTGAATATAATGTTTTTCATGCATCATGCTTAGAGTCTGGGATGAATCTTATGAGACTTCATGCTAATTGTGATATAGCCGTTGACCAGTTAAGGAATGTGTATGCAAGCTTAGTTGCACCACAGAAGCAAATAATCTATTAATTCGCTTATGACATAAGGTTGCTACAGTTTGAAGGTTGTAGATCTTACAAGTAATTTATTTTCTTGTTTACGTTCTTCTGGATAATAGAACTTGAGGGAGCATATTCAACCTTTCTTCTTGCGGCGCCTTAAGAGTGAAGTCTTTGGTGATGATGCCGCAGCCTCCAAACTTTCAAAGAAGGACGAAATTGTTGTATGGCTACGGTTAACAGCTTGCCAGGTGCAACCCCTACACACATAACTAGAATCGCTGGTCTAATATTCTCAGTCATATAGTATTACTGATACGTATCTCTTTGTTGCAGAGGCAATTATATGAAGCTTTCTTAAACAGTGAAATTGTTCTCTCAGCTTTTGATGGTTCACCTCTAGCAGCTCTAACGGTAAGTTCAAACTATGTGTGTCTATTTCTGATACAGTAAATTCGTTATATAAATGTGGACTCAATTTCAGATCTTTATACACTATGTGGCTTCCTTTCCTCTCTGTTTCTAAGTACATCACTTATATATTTCATGTTAAAAATCTTGTCTGTCCATGAAAATTAATTTCTAGCAACTTATAGTTATTTTTGTTGTTGCTGTTATGAAACAGATTCTGAAGAAAATATGTGACCACCCGCTTCTCTTGACTAAGAGGGCTGCTGAGGATGTCCTCGAAGGAATGGAATCAACATTAACACAAGAAGAAGCAGGCGTGGCGGAGAGGCTGGCTATGCATATTGCAGACAATGTGGATACAGATGATTTCCAGACCAAAAATGACAGCATCTCCTGCAAATTGTCATTCATCATGTCGCTACTGGTTAGATCACATCTATGTTTCAATTAGCGACGTTCATTTAGATGGTTGTCTGTTTGACTGACATTCCTTCTACATTGTTACTTAGGAAAATTTGATTCCAGAAGGGCACCGTGTTCTAATCTTCTCCCAGACACGCAAGATGCTTAATCTCATTCAGGTTTGCTGATAACTTTACACCAACGTTTTCCTTGAAGTTTTGTGGATCCGTCATGGGTTACGTTTGGATTTTTCAGGATTCTCTTACCTCCAACGGTTATAGTTTCTTGCGAATTGATGGTACAACAAAAGCCCCCGACAGATTGAAGACTGTTGAAGTGGGTTTTTCTCTTTCTCAAACACATTACGTATCATATTTTTTTCCCTGAGCTACTTATACTCTCTTGTCATCATGCGATCACAGTTCTTAAAACATTAATATATTCCAGGAATTTCAAAGTGGTCATGTGGCTCCTATATTTCTCTTGACGTCTCAAGTTGGTGGTCTCGGCCTTACTCTGACAAAGGCAGACCGTGTGATTGTGGTTGACCCTGCCTGGAATCCAAGGTACTTAACTCGTTTATCAGAATTTTGCATCTCTAGCTTGTTGAAGGCTGAATTACAAAATTGAAGCAGCATAATCTTGGTTTCTGTTTTTATTGACATTGATTATGCCGGATGCAAAACTTGTTGTTTTCATTTCTATGCTCTATCTCTTGCTTATGAAACTTGACGTGTTGGGAATCTGATGTGTTACTTTCATGACATGATTTTTTTCTGATGTCTATGCAGCACTGACAACCAGAGCGTTGATCGAGCATACAGAATTGGGCAAACCAAGGATGTTATCGTGTATAGGTTAATGACCTCAGCAACTGTTGAAGAAAAGATTTACAGAAAGCAGGTTTGTTGGATGTTTTTAGTTCCTCGGTTAATACAATTGCTGAGTGATTTGATATGAACATATAGGTGTAATATATAATGCCATGGATATATATTCTTTTATGTAGGTGTACAAGGGAAGTTTGTTTAAAACCGCAACTGAGCATAAAGAACAAATCCGCTATTTCAGCCAGCAGGTATAATCTGAATTCTGGTGTCAAGGGAGATCTATAATGTCTTCCTGACTTTTCTTTCATTTGTTTCTCAATATTAATATCAAATGATATTATCTTTGCTTTAGGATCTTCGAGAACTTTTTAGTCTTCCCAAGGGCGGCTTTGATGTTTCACCTACACAGCAGCAACTATATGAAGAGCATTACAACCAGATCAAACTGTAAGCAAGCACTAAATTCTGAGCAAAACCAGTGTCCTGATGGTTAATTTTGGAATATGATTTCACTTATCTTTGTATGTTTGTATAGAGATGAAACTCTGGAATCCCACGTTAAGTTCCTGGAAACTCTTGGTATAGCTGGAGTGAGTCATCACAGCTTACTCTTCTCCAAGACTGCTTCTGTCCAGCCGATACAGCAAGAAGAAGTAGAAGAAGTAAGGTGAAACTCTTGCACTTCTCGAAGCAACTTTTGCTTCTTTTTTTCACGGTTATAAAACAGTTATCCTTCATCTTCGAACTCCGGTTTCTGATTTGTTATTCAACCTAAAAAGGAGAGGAACAACATCATTCATGGGACGCCCATCAGCAAGTTCTTCACAGGACAACATGGTCAATGGGTATTAACACCATCAACAGACTTTTGTCGAATTTAATAACTGTTGTGTTTTTGTATAATCTCTTATCTGTTTGGAAAACTGGTTTCTCGCAGGGCTGAGTATGCTTTCAACCCAAAGGATGTGAACGTGGACAAGAGAATCAACATTTCCCCAATCGACGAGAATGAATTGTCGGAAAGCGAGATCAAAGCAAGAATCAGTCGGTTGTCTATGCTATTCGAGAACAAGGTAAAGACATTAGTTCTTGTAATATCCAGAAAAAGAAAAAAAGCTTCAGGCTTGTCTGAGTCTCTCTGTTTTGGGTTGTTTCATTATCTCACAGAGTACGGTCTCAAGGTTACCTGATAGAGGAGCCAAAATACAGAAGCAGATTGCTGATTTAACTCGAGAGCTCGAAGAAATAAAGGCAGCACGGAGCAATGATAAGCCTCAAGTTATTGACTTGGAGGATATAAGTCAGAAGATGCACAAAGGATTGAATCTCTAGTAGTTTAGGACAAGTCAAGATTCAAAAGATGCAATGACCATCATGCTTTATGATTTCTTTTTTGTTGAATCGAGACAAGTCCAAATTTGGTTCTTGTAGAACAGAAAAGTCAATTACCAAATGACTTACGTACTGCAAAGGAGATAAACGTTATTGATCTTTTTTCCAGAGTGTGATAAACCATATTTGTTCTTTTAATCTCGACGAACATAGAAGAAAAAAATTGTTTGTTGACTAGTTTTTAAAACTTGATAAAAACTACATTTTTCGTATAATCAGGAATCTTAGACTAGTATCATAATGATTGAGCTTGTAACACTTGTTATCTTAGAGTATTTTAAAATTCAAACAATGTAAGTGAAACACATGAAACAGGGATAAGATTGTTGTAGTGTAGCCATGGTTAAAAGGAAAAAGATCTTGCAGATAAGAAAAGAAATCTTTGGTTACAAGGTTTTCAACTCTAGAATGTGATTTCCTCCTATCTTTGCAATTACAAAGCCTTTCATCTCTTTATATAGACTCCTTGTCCCCAAGACTCTCATATCCACCCCTAAAATGTCTTCTTACACAAATTCTATCACATCTCATCTCTCTAGAGATATCCCTAAAGTTTCTCGATTGTCTTGTCAGAAAATATTCTATCCCCATCCCATACATAGAGGTTTACTCGACTGAGACGCTGTGCGCGAGTTTCAACCATTAAAACTTTTTTTGTATGTTTCAAACTCGTGTACAAGTTCCAGTGAGTGAACCCACTATGTATGAGATGCGAATAGAATCTGCATATATGTTGTTTTCGTTTGATAAGCATTTTGCTAGGAAACGAGTTAGTGAAAAGAAAATCCACCTTACATATCGTCTCATAGCAAATTGTTTATTGCTAACTGGACAACGCCAATATTTTTCTAACTGTTTTGAAGGAACGGATATAGTTTTTACAGAGATAGAATGTCAACAAAGAAAACCCTATGCAGATTATTTTCACATATGCTTATTGATGGATCTCTAATATGTATTTTTTTCTTCTCTTCTTTTTGTAATATATGATGCAACTCTTGTGTGCTGCTTTATTCCATGCTTGATGTCGTAGAAAACTGCTAATATTTTCGTCTCTTACAATTATACAAAAAAACCATAAAATTTTTTAACTAAAATTCTGTTTTCTCGTCAAAATCATATTTTCTAATAAAACCGCAAATATAAGTTTTCAAATCAAAATTAAGAAATCACATTTTTTCGCTAAAACTGCAAATTCTCATTTTCAACAAACCAGAAAGTCATATTTTCCCGCAAAAACAACAAACTCGCATTTTTCTGCTAAAACCGGTGGTGAGGTGTCAGCGTTGGTTGGATGTTCAAAACTCCTCTCTTAGTTGTTTGCAAACCGTGGCTTTTGTGTTCTTTTTGGCCTCCGGTGGGGCTCTTGCTGCTGCCTCTGTTGTGTGTTTTGTTTCAAGTCCGGCTTTCCATAGTTCTTAAAGAGTTCAATTTTTTGGTAGGTGATAGCTTCCAATGGTGACTTGCTTAGCGACCAATACCTTACCGTGGGAGGGAGCGTAAAATATCATTTTTCAACTAAACCAAAAACTGCATTTTCCGTAAAACTGCAAAACCGCATATTCTGCTAAAAATGCAAAATCTTTTTTTGCCAAAATCAAAAAATGTGGTTTTTCAAAATCATATTTTCCGCCAAACTCTAATCTTTACCTAACTTCTCGTTTTTGATTTTTTCTGTTTATAACTTTAGCTATGTTTTAAGTTTTTTTTTTGCTCGTTCTGCTCTCTAAATTCTTTATGTAATGTCTGTTAAAATTCAAAAATACTATAAAATTTGATATTTTATCCCAAACAAAAATTAAAACTTGAACTGAAAAAAAACAATCAAATAAAATATCAAGAAATAAATACAATAACAAAATCCTAAGAGGATGATGGTAATTTTTTTCCCTTAAATGACATGTTTGTTGAAATTTTTTTAACCTGAAACAATATAAAAAACAACACCAAATTAGATTCAAAATTCATTTAGTATTGCAATTATTATTATAATCATTATTATTATTTTCTTTCCTAATTAAAAACCGACTGATCTACATTAGCTGTGCAAACAAATTAAACATAGGTAATCTCTAACGACCAAATAAATTCAAATAGATGGATATCATGTTCGGTTTAGTTTCACAACTAATATAAATCTAATCGATTTTAAACTAATTTAGATTCTAATGTGAATGAGTTAAAAAAAAAAAAAAAAGAATATAAGACATATCTTTCTTACTAAGTTTCCTTTTCTCTGCATCTCTTGTTTCCTGATATTTATTTTATGAAAAAAGTTTTGACCTAAAACAACATAAAAACAATATCAGATTCCATATTTGAATTAGAAGTGTTACAATTATTATCATTTTTTTCCTAATAAAACCGATTGATCTACATTAGTTCTGGAAACAAATTGAACATAAGTAATCTCTAACGACCAAATGAATTCAAATGGCTGGATACCATGTTCGGTTAATTTTACTTCTAACGTAAATTTAATCGATTTTAATCTAATCCAAGTTTTAGTGTAGATAATACCGAAAGAAAAAAAAAAGAGTAGAAGACATATCTTTCTTCGTGAGTTTTTTTTTTCTTGGCATTTCTTGCTTCTTGAACTTCATTTTTTTGATAAAGTTTTAACCTGAAACAATATAAAAAACAATACCAAATTTTATGTTTGGGTTAGATTCTAATTTCATTTAGTATTGCAATTATTATTATTATTATTATTATTATCATTTTTCTTCCTAATAAGAAATCAATTGATCTGCTTTATGAGGTGTTATTGATTCTTGTATTTTAATGGATTTGAGAATCCAAACCAAATTTAGTGTTATTGGTTCTATCATTTTAGAATCTAAATATTATAAGGATTTGAGTTTTAATTGAATTTGAATGGATTTGGAATGATTTTCATGACTAAAATACAAAGACCCAAATACAAGGTGTAACCTTGGTATTTGAGTGGATTTGATTTTTTTCTATTTTGCTGATTTTAAAATCAATAAATTTATCAAATCCAAAAAAGATTTATAAATCCACCAAAATACAAGAACCAATAACCTCTACTTAATTGTGAAATCAAATTGAACACTGGTAATCTCTAACGACTAAATGAATTCAAATAGCTGGATACCATGTTCGGTTAGTTTCACAACTAAAATAAATCTAATCGATTTCAAACTAATTTAAATTTTAATATGGATAAATAAAAATAAATAAAACTAAAGATAATAGAAAACATATCTTTGGTGAGTTTTTGTGTTCTGGACACAATGCAAGCAACCGTAAAGCAAGCAATTGGACATTTTGCAAGAAAATCACAATTGATCAATAATAATATCTGGATATATATGAGAATGGTCGGTTCATATACAAGCACTTACGGTTTCACAAAGTGCAGATGGATTGCTGCTTCCAAGAGCGGTCTGAAAGTGTTCATTAGACACCGCCATGTAGCTGCGGATCTCGGCATCAATTTCGTCGTCTTCCAAGTTTAATCACATCCATCTTCTCTCTGATACATATCCATGTGTGTCCTTGGAGATTCTTTCTATATCCACCTGTTAAAAAAGCAGGGATCTTTAATAAACATTACAACCAGAGAAACATCAACAAAACATGTAAAAATGCTCTATAGATAAATTTACTTACATCTTCAGCTAGCTTCATGTTCTTCGTGTGGATCCTAAGGACTTCAAGACATCAGGAACACGGATATCAATCTCCCTGTCGAATCTTCCAAACCTCTCAGCCTCTCCATTAGTCTTTGTGCAATAAAGTCAATCTCAGGAACGTTCTTCTCAGCCTCCTCCAATGCTTTCCTGAGACTTCATCGAGCCTTTCTTCACCGGTTCATCCTCACAGAAAATCTTTGTATCTGGAGCGACCACACAGTACTCAGCAGGATCAGTCTCGATAATTTTGAACTCCACACTCCTCATTCCTCCTCTGACTGGGCAGGAAGTAGGCTGTTGAAAAAGTCCAAATTTTGTTAGCAATCCAAAGTAATGAAACATGATCTTAAAGCAAACATGCTCGAAAAGACATCTTGACTATGATATGAAAGAGAAGTAAAGATGCAAGCAAACTTACGTTTCAGGTCCTTTCAATGGTATCATCAACAGGCAAGATGACCTTGTTCATTCTGATCTTAGGTTCCTCGCATGATTCATCAGCAAAGGGCAATGCACACAATGTCCTTCCTTTTCTTATCCTGTAAAGGCAGAAGCGGAACCATGTAAGAAATCACCGAGGTAACAAGATCAGTTTTAAAAGACTGTACAAGTTTAGATTTCGACCCCTGACTCAATGTGTTTTACAAGATCAAAACAAGTAAGAGAGAAAATGTACAATCACGTAAGAATCCTCGGCGAAAAACTTCAATTTTGTAACAATCGTCAATCAAAACCAACATTCCCTCTACTAGTACTGAAACCAGAGATTTCTGATTCCAGCAATACAGAATTTAAAATGTATAAAAAATGGAGTAAAAATGGAGTAAAAACCAAACCTTGATGAGAATCGTATCATCACGGAAGGGAGAGTTGTCAATCGTTAATGGCTTCGTCGACAACAAGTCGGTTTTGTAGTCTTCTTCCTCTAGAGAATATGAGTACTGAAATCCTTCTCCGATCTACTGAAACAAACAAGAGAGAATTAATAAAACTCAGCAGCTTAAAGAAGAAATCAACTTTAAAATCCTGATCCGAACCCTGGGTAAAAGATCGAAAATTTATGATCGGAAATCGAAAATCGGAGATCTAGTTACTTACGAGTCGGAAGATTGGTGATTGCTGAAATTGACCAGAGAGTTTTTCTTAAAGAAAGTTGCAAAAATTATTTCTAGAGAGATCGATTGATGATTCTTTGTGATTATGGGATTTGAAGGGAGAACAGATTTCGAAATTGATATCCTTTTCCTCTTCTTTTGCTAGCCGGTAGAAAAATAAGACCGTTGTATCTGATTTTTCCTAAAACGTTTCCGAAATATCTTTGATGACTACGTACTGTTTGTGATCTCCTCGATATTACACGTTGTGCCGTTTGTCTTTTTGAGACTTCCCTTTTATAACTACCTGCCGTTTTTAATCTCGAGTAATCGACTTCTACTCGACGAGAAAAACCAGATGGGTGATTTGTCATGAATCTACGAAACCCATTCACATATATGAGCTTAATTTTCCTATGACCCAACCCAATGGTCTTTTTATCTTCTTTACTAACTTCTTTTTTTGGTTATGATGTTAAATACGAGTCTCATTATTCTTCGTTCGATAGTTTAAAAATTACAATTTCTAGTTCTCTTCTTCCCATATCGAACTGAAAAAAGAAAAACCTCAACGTAGATCTTACAACTCTTAAAACCGAACTGAAAAAAAAAACAACGTGGAGACTGTCATTACTACTACACGAAACAGAACACTTGAAACATTTTCTACTACTCTTCACAAAACAAAGACGACAAAATCCATCTTTAGGCCTCTCTACAAGAGCTCTTTCACTCTCCCTAAACTGACACACCTTGAAAAACCTCAGAACATCGATTACAATTTACACAAGTTACATCGCCAGATTCTTGGGATTTTCGTGGGGGACTAAACTAGTAAAACTATTAGTTGAAGTTGAAGCTAGCAGTGCGGCTCCATCGCCCTTTCAAGTAATCCTCGACAGAGATACTACTGGCTTCAGGGCTACTATCAGAAGCTGCATCATCCTCCAAATCAAGCAATGCAAGGTTTATGTGTGACTCTATGTTTGTCAAGTACGTGGTTTCGTCTTCTGAGGCTCTCACTTGTTGCTTTCCCCACTCTGTTGCTTCTTCGTCCCCTTGTAATATATTTAGGACCTGTGGATTTATCAAAAAACAATACCCCAGAACAGAGCAATAAGAAGCAAAGACTAAGAATATATAGCAGCCCGAGAAGATCAATGATATATAATATTAGCTTACGAGGCCTATTTGTGGACGGTCACAAGGTGTGCGTTTGATGCATAGCGTGGCAGCTAACAATAGTTTCTCGATTAGATCGTTATTGTTATCAGCTTCTAGACTTGGATCCAGTAACTGAGCAAACTTTCCACTCTCTAGAATTGGGTTTGCCTGGGAAAGGGATGAAATTTCAGTCATTCCAAAGAGTTATTAACATTGCTTCCATAATTTGACTGCAACGGAAAATGTGAAGTTGTGGATAGTTATGCTTACCCACAAGACAAGGCTCTCCTGGCCTTTAGATTGGTCAACGCAGATTGGTTTTCTACCCGATAGGAGCTCGAGCAATACAACACCAAAAGCATAGACATCAATCTTGTCGGTTACTTTACCGTGCATGAAGTACTCTGGTGCTAAGTAACTGTTAAACAAAGGAAAAAAATAATATGAATACGACTGACAGAGTTATGATGATCTCTTTAAGGTAAGATGTAAGGAAACGAGTTTAATACCCAAATGTCCCGGCAATTCCTCCACATGACACGTGCTGTGAAGCACCTGAAGCCAGGCTGGCAAATCCGAAATCTGACAGCTGAGCCAGTATATATTATAAACAATGTTAAATCACAGGAAGCTTCTGTAATTGCATCTGTGGATGGACTAATAAGATTAAGACTGAAATATAGCCGTACCTGTGGCTCAAAATCATCTGCTAGGAGAACATTGGACGATTTCACATCCCGGTGAATCACATCTGGATCATGACCGTTATGTAGATAGTCCAGTGCCTCAGCAACACCCACTGCGACTTTATATCTCTCCAGCCAGCCAAAAGTGGTTGCATCCTTTCTACTACCTGAATCAAGAAGAAAACAGCACAGAATCAAATATATGAGAGACACAATTAGATAAGATAAGTCTGTCACATGACATGAGAAATCAAATGTATAGTTCTATTCACCATGAAGATTCTCTTCAAGGCTTCCTCGTGGTAGATAGTCGTACACCAGCATCAAATTATTATTCTCAAAACAGAAACCAAAGAGAGATACTATGTTCTTGTGATGAACACTTGTAATGACCTCGATTTCCAATATAAATTCCTTCAACACATCGAGACAAGGCTTCAATATTTTGACAGCCAATTCCCTGCCATCTGGTAGGTCTCCTCTATAAACATAACTATTACCACCTTCTCCAATCAAGTTCTCTGCAAACATAAAAAAAGGATGTATCCATAAGCAAATGATGAAGATCAAGTCAGAGCAAAACCAAACCAATGTTAGAACATGAAACGGGACATACCGGATGCAAAGTTTGAGGTAATTGACAAGACTTCCTCGTATGTGAACAATCTACATGTGGAAGAGTATTTTTCATGTAGACCCTCCAGCTCTTCCGGAATGTTGTTTGACCCAGTGAAGGGAGAAAGGGGAGACTGCATAAGCTCAGAACCGGATCGTGAAATGGAAACCTCTTCACCGTCGATGCTAGAAGAGCAATCTTCATCACAACCAGAATCACTCCGTTTCTTATCCAGATATGCTACAGCTGCTGAATTCCGACCTCGCAGCCTCGAAACCCACTGAAGCACAGCCTTCTTTGCAGAAACTTTGGTCCAGCTTTTTCGATTAGAGTAAAACCCCCGAAGAAAATGCCAACCTGGTCCTGCCTCAAGCGAACCTGAATCACTCTCATTTGTTTGTATTGGCACTAAAGCCAATGAATTGTCTACACCTAAGCTCTCGGGAGACTGTAACGATGAAGTGCGACTAGTTCTCGTCCAGCGTGAGCTCGTTCTTGCAGGACTAAAACTGTTTACAATCTTTGACGCTTCAATAGCAATGTTGGGTGATCCACAAACTAAAGAAGGAAGATTCATGTGTGGACCATCTCCACCTGCAAAGCACAAAACTTTCTTTATAAAAAAAACTATGATACATCAACAGTCCACAAATCAGAAAACTTTGAACCACTAACATCAGTATCATGAAACTATCCGTAACGCACCATTGTTACTAGGTACTCTGCGGAACATAATTTTGCCACTTTTAACAGCAAAAACTGAGACATCTTTGGCAAGATTCCTAGCACAATACTTGGCTAAGGAAGCTGATGAACGGATCGTGTGATGTCTCCTAGAGGAACCAACGATTAAACTTGTTGCTCCAGTGGATTTCACTTCCTGTACAAGAACTTTCCTAGCTGACTTCCCTCTGAAAACCTTCAACTTTAAATCCACCTGTTACAAACATCCATCGATTTCAGTTAACTTATCCTCAGAATCCCCACTCTAAAAAAAAGATAAATTTCCAATTTTAATAGTGTTGCAAATTTTTCCGACTCACCTGTTTTAAATTGCAGAAGCTTTCATATACACCAAGCATAGTGTCGAAATTCCTAACCAGCGAAACAAGCGACGTTGTTCCCTCTGCACGATTAAAGCAGAAAATTAAAAAAAGAAACAAAAATATCTCAGATCGGAAAAGAAAGGGGAAGCGAATATGAGGGTTTACACACCAAGAGAATAGTCGAGAACGTGAAGAGCAACGATTCGATCTCCAGGACGCGCCACATTCACCAAGGACCATGTAAGCACCTCTCGGCTCCATTCGTCCGGCTTTACGCCGACGATTACTAGCGCCGAACCATCCACCTCCGCCACCTTCACCGCATCTACTCCATCTCTGACTTCGGCGACTCCGCCATCTCCTCCTCCGGTAGGTTTCATTCAAACGAAGCGATGCCTCCCCTTTTCCTTCTCCTCCACGGTCAAAACTTGAGATTCACACACACACACACAGACACTCTCTCTCTCTCTCTCGCTCTCTCTCTCTCGCAGTAGCAAACCTCTCTTTCTCCTTCTATTTCTCCCTCTCTCTCTCTATCTCGCTCTCTCGTGTGCCTCTTTGTCGTTTTGCTCTTGGGCAAAGGGGAAAGAGCGAATCACGTTAACTGTCTCCGGGAGAAAAGTGGGAGAGAGATGTTTTGTGTCCTCTGGTTTGAATGAATCTGAACCGTTGATTATTACTTCATGATCCGATCATTACTATTCTTTTATTTATTTATTTTGTAGTAATAAATTTATAAGTTAATTTGTCACAAAAGGAAAATAATTAAATTTTTAAGCACGAGGGAATAATAATGGATGGACATCGCCATCATTCATTCTCTTTTACCGGACAAACGAATCTCTCTCTCTCTTTTTCTTCATTTCATCAATTGTCATTAACATCGCCTGATTTTTCTCATTTGGTTATCAATTTAATATTTAATCATTATATTAAATGTCATTATCGTACATGTCTCATCCCCCCCCAAAAAAAATATTCATGCATGTTTCATTTTCAGTAAAAGTATAACCAACTCCTTCATTTTTTATTTCTCTTTTTAAACAGAAATCAGCTTAAAAAGTAGAGGACAAAATTGATCCGTCGGTGAAGACCAAAATGTCTTTGTTATATGTATATGGTTTTTATTTGATTTTGTTTGGTAGGTATTGTCAAATCATGCCAAAAATATTTTTTTTTTAATGAATATAAAAAAACACCATCAAAATCTATAGAGATGGAGAGATATTGTTTGAGACATGTTATTTAAAAAAAAAAACACATTAACAAAACTACATTGAGAAAATGTTATTTTGTGAAAACAAATACTTTCGGTGGGCTAATACAGAGATTATATATATTTCACGGGTTCATTTCATGAAGTAATCAAATTTCAATTATAGGAGTAATCGAATCTCAATATCTCATTTACATTGGGATTTGAAGGACGACAAAGCAAAACGGAAACTAAGATCATTCTTTAGATCCTGTGTTAAAAGCATTTTACTTAATTATTACTAAATTACATTAGCTGTTTCCAAAAACATACTAAAGTGCATGATTGAGTTAGGTAAAAAGTTCTGCATATCAAGCCTTCCACTAAGAGATATCGCATTTATTTGAGTACTAGATTGATTTATTAAACATAAGGTGTGAAAATAAACAAAATTAGAGAACAAAGCATTTTACTATCATCGCCAATACTGTGCCATCTAGATTCAAATCCACGGAATGTAAGAATTAGAAAAGTAGAAATAACTAAAACTAAGATATTTAGGACATACACTTATATTCCGAAAAAGAGTCGTATAAAAGATGATCTTCTCGAATACATTTTTCGATCCTTTATTTTGAAATCGAAAAGAAAAATAAAGGAATATCTTTCAGTCTTTCATGGTGTACTAAATAAGGTTTAATATGACTCACATCTTTGATTTAAAATCATATCCCTCGAGTGAAGACCAAAGGGGTGATATACTATTTTAAAAAAAAAATTGAAGAAAAATGGATCCACATTAACTCACTACCACATAACTAAACTAAAAACTATTACAGGTTAGATATATAATCTGGTGGGCACGACTCATATGATAGCACGTAAAATATTATATTTGAGAAATCCAGCTAACCGTGATCTACGCAAATCATGAATTCCAGGGCAAAAGTGGCCGTTAATTATTGTTGTGGTGGTAATTAAATAAAAGAAACCACAAACCTAATCAAGTAAACAAAACATTGATAAATTTCGTATTAAATATATCCAATTAATTGATCTGTTGTGTTGACCGAAAGTGAAATTAAATTAGAGAGAACTGTGTCAATTTTTTACCCGATTAGAGTTTCACAGTAGAACATATATAACGGAAAATTATGATTTTATGTTTTTACCGTGTGGCTCCACGGATACTGATCGGATTCACACTATAACTAATCATGCTAATTGCTAAAGTAAGTATAGTAGCTTACTAAAAGTTACCGTTAGAGTTACGGTTAGGGCAGGCGTTGGCAAAATGTGAAGGATCACCACATGAGAAGCACCTTCTGCCACTCAGTGGCTCTCCCGTTGCCGAGACGAAGCTTGTTCCACCGCCGCCACGTCCTCCACTGCTGCGTCCTGCACCGCTTTGGCCGCCTCTATTTCCACGGCCACGACCACTGCCGCGTCTACCGCTTCCACCGCTATTAGAACCTGCTGTCGCATTCCCAGTACCGTTGCTGATGCTATCTTCCCATCTGTCACAAGCATTATAGAAGGCCATCTCAGTGATTTACAAGGACAACAAAAGAAGAGGGGAAATCGCGAGTCATGGATTCTTACGCGAAGAAATTGCAGCCTTGTGATGGACATGAGAAGAATTTTCTTCCCCTGTTAGCCTCTGTGTTGGCTATACGAAGAGCACATGGTGTTCCACAAGTGTTACATGTTACCGTAGTTTCATCTGCATTATGACAAAGATAATCTTGGTTAGTAATTTACAAGTCGATAGAGAAGAGATTTGATCTCGACATATTTGCATGATATGTGATTAGCATATACTAGCAAATGCATTATCGAGAAAATGAGGTGATCTTTGTTTGCTAAACAATTATTGAAAGGATTGTTACCATTTCTCGGATTTGTTCCCGTAGGTCGAGGATTTCGAGTTCCTGAAGCCCGTGAGGGACAATTGGCAGAAGTATGTCCTCGTTGTTGACACTGTGTGCAGACATTATTCTGTCTTAAGTTGCTTCCTTGGAAATTGTTTGAGGGAGCACCTGGAGCTGTCCTTGCTACAAGAACAAATCATCGATTCTTTTTAGCCTAGAGTTCTCTCTATTCACAAGCCGCGCCATATTAAAAGTTCTTGCATTCTTATTTAGAACAGAAGACGATGAAAGAATAATTGTATGATCTCCAATACAAAACTATGCCAATTTCTTTTACCGTTTGGTCTAACTACGTATTGTGTAACTACGGAGCACTAACCTTGAGTACGGGATCCAGTCCCACATATGTCTATCAACTGTTTAAGAATGTCATCACAGCCACCAACACAGCCTGACCACGATGAAATAAACATGAAATCAAACTGACATGGTGAACCATTCAAAGATAACCACAGAGTTGGTTGCAAACGTTTGAAAAAAAAAATGTGCATACCTAAGTGATTAATATCAAAGCCTGGTGGAATTCCAATCTGACGGAACTTGAAACGTATCTTGTAAACAAGACCTACAGAAAAATTGCACCGTTTAACTATAAAGACGAATATTTTACGTATAGTTTTAGCTTTCTGTTCACTATGTTACTGAAAAATCTGGGGTGGTACCTGGACCACAAGATTGACAAACATCAGTTGTGACAGATGCTTCCAGTGTAGGTCCAGGAAGCCAAACTGCATTTCGACACTGAATAATTGGCGAATGTGTTAAATTAATATGTGGAAGCAAGAATAGCATATACGAAAAAACACTGAAGCATCAGATTATTAGATAATAAATCTCAAAAACAACAGAATACAGAGGAGGGGAAAAGTATGATTCAAGTGGTATGTGAAGAGCTGTGAGATTCTGACCTGAGGATAACTCATGCATCCAACCATGAAATTGCCATCCTGCAGAGACAGGGGATTAGACTGCTTAACCAGTTGCTCCCATTAACAACAGAGGGAGAAGAGCAAATCCTAGAATGTTTTTTTTGATGGATTGTATACCCGATTCTTCCTGAGCGCCATATCTGATTCATGGCAGAGATTGCATCGTCGGACAACTTCACCAGCTGTCTGATTTTCACCTTCATCAGTGTTATTAGATCTGCACAAGCAGAATCGTACTTAATATGAGAAAATAGAGTTGAGCTATTCTCTTGAGCTACACAGTATGTAAACAAAGCAATGAGATCACCTTTCAAAGAAAATTGTCATTGCTTCCAGGAGCTTAGATTTTTTGACTTTTGCCTGCGGAATAAATTTTGTGAAAATATAAACTCATGGCCTTAAGTTTCAGCCTACTGCATTCGCAACAGCTTCAGCAAAAAACAGATTTAGCAATAGAGACCAGACAAATAGTAGATATAATAAAGCTCACTCACATCTAAGAAACAAGCTTTCATTTGCTGCAAACAAGTTTCAAGAACTTCAGCTTTAGTCTTCCTGCCAACACTAACTTCATTCATATCATGTTCCATGATGGCTCTGAGATTTGGTTTCCAAAGTTCATACCTGACATGAAAAGATTGGCAACAAGAACACATCAAACTCTTAGGGGGCTCTTCAGCACGGCATTGATACAAATTCAGTCTCTACAAATTGATAGACCATTAATATAAAGACTAGACATTTCTTGATCAGTTTCCCTCTAATTACAAGGGAATTATAATTGAAAGGCACATATATAAGGACCCTCCAAGTTGTTTTAAATATGAGGAAATTTTTATATTGCATTACATGCAGGCTTATACATACCCCATGTCATCATATCCCATGACAAGCGCCTCACCCTATAAATTCACATCAGAACAGTAAGGTAACTTCAGAAACTTTATAAAGACAGATAAAGGCCTGAAAAAGAGAAATAAATTATATAGTTCCCAGGGAGAGAATCGTCATGATTTTGCTATAACTCCAGCAAATAAAGTTAATTCAGATGTTTTAAAGCTTAAGCTGATATCAACATCAAAATGCAGTTGTAATCCTAATCTACATGCCACCCCATATTTATTAGGAGCCAGGAGTGTCATGGCTCTGTGGACTAGGCCTAGAATGTTCTTGACCTAAGAAGAACCTTGACGTCACAGAAAATATTTCGACTATAACTAACGATAAAAGACACAAATAAACTCTGAATCATTCTTGGGGATATGAAAAGTACTAATCAAACGTATTAGTATACTCTAAAGGGCTGAGGTATATCCACAAACAACAAATATATAAAATATAGAATTATAAAAGACAATGGAGAAAAATTTAGAAAGTTTGGGTATCATATTAGCTACCAGGTTGGTTGGAGAAAACCGTGTGTTAGCATCCTTTGTAGCATAACCCCGATCAAGGAGTTTCTTTATGTGGTCGTGCATTGTCGCATCGGTGCCAATGCCTGCCTAATATTCACAAGAAGATAGGAAAACAAAAAGTTACAAACATGATCGGGTGAGAAATTTAAGGATTGATGAGCAAGAATATGCAAACACCACCATGCAATGAGGGGCAACCAAGACATTTTAATCACCTTGTCCATACAAGTCAGTAAGTCAGCTTCACACAGTAGCGGTGGTGGCCTTGTTACCGCTGAATCAAGAGTTAAACTTGTTGGGATAAACTGCACATTACCAAGACAAACATAATCGTCATCTATTGTCCTGGCTGTAAAAACTAAGTAGAAGGATAAACAAAAAAAAACATCAAAGGAGTGAAAGTTAAACAGAATTTCCAACAGTTATGCCAACAAACAAGCGGCCTCTTCCATCTAGATAAAGCAAGATGTGATTGCTTCTCCGCATAAGTAGCAATAAGAAAACGTGAGCCACTTTAATAATCATGATGACACCAGTTTCATTTTTAACTAGAAACCACAATGAGGAAAGTTATGCCCTTCAATAGCCTTGTAGTTTAGTAGTTAAGGAATGTAACTTACACGCAAGTACAAAGTAGTTTATTAAAATGAGGCTAGGCTGAGAGAGTACAATAAACCTCCTGAAAGGAGATCCAAGAAAAAAATAAGAGAATCACAAACCTGCTGCCCTTTTTCGTAAATTGGAATCACTGAACCTCCCCATGATTCAAAGCGGTATACTTCAAGGTAATTTTTCTGGTCACACAAAGAAAAATAAGCCCAGTATCCAATTATTTACGGAAGAGACAAGTACCTATAGATATACGGGCAGCAAACAAAAATTACGCACAACCAAAATAACATTTTGTTTTAGTTCAACACTCAACATTAGGATTGGCGTCAAATCTAGTCTAGATCTAATAAATATATAGAAATGCAAAAAAAGTTATATGAAGGAGTTTAGCCTATTGGGGCTTTATCTATATATCTACTGCGCTTAATCACTTCCTAGTTATTAGAATCTCCATCCTGGTACGTGAAAGTTTATCATTCTATTCAAGATTTAGCGTTGAATCTTCTTAGGGATGGCGATAAAATTTTGCAAGGAAGACCCTCTTGATTTGAGTCAGGAAAGATCAAGCACCGATCAACTCATCCCTGTCCAAAAGCTACAACCTTATCTCACCTTGAACAAAATTTATAAGCCAAATAGTAGCAACAGCAACTAATCTTTAATTCTTTTTTCCCTTTTCTCCAACTTTATTGCGCTATCAAAACAGAGAAATACCTTAACAAGCAAAACAGCTTTACATTTCATTTAAGCGCAACCACAGAAATCGAGATGGAAGTGGCGAGTAACGAGTCTTACAGCTAATATTGCTCTCCCAGATGCAGAAAAGCGCTCGCCAGCAATATCAATTTCGACTGTAGTTTCAGCAGCAACCGCAGGCTGGGAAACACATGCTAAGTAGTGGCGGACTACTAGCTCATATACATTCTGGAAAAGTGAAAGAAACGTTTAGTTCCAAAGAAAAAAACAATATCATACCTATGCTTGGATATGTTAACCACACTGACAGCCATACTTACGAGGTGATCTCTGCTCCAGTTAGACTCTCCGCTAGAAAATTTAGTTGGGTGGATGGGCGGGTGAGCCTTGTCATCATGACCACCATTCCCAGGGTTTCTCCAGAGCCCCCCCTCAGGTTCTAATAGTCTTTGTGCATATGGACCCCATGCAGGATGTCTTGTTTGTTCCTCCACCATAGCCTATAAACAATTAGAGATCCTAAGAGACTAAAATTACAACAAAGGCATCAAAGTAAATCATAAACTCCAAATTGACTTTATTGGGCTCATGAGAAAAAGTTACCCACACGTAAATCAGTCCTGCTCGAAAAAGAATCGGTCTCTGTACGAGGATAGCTGATAAAACCAGCCTGATATAACTCTTCTGCCACCTATCCAGACATTGTTGATGTTATTTACCAGAGAGATCTTGTTGCAATTTTAAAAGCTATCAATCTACAAGAAAGCAGAAAACTATACCAAGATACAATAGGATTTAGAATATTTTGGAAAACATGCAGTCCTAAATGGCCAAAAAATCATAGGAAACCTATATGAAACAATCTAATGCTCGTTCAGACCTTCATGGTATGCTCTGAACTCAGACGGAAGTATCTTGAAGCGCGTTTTTCAAGTTCAATGGTGTTCAAAGGATAAGGAGGATATTTAAACTTCTCCCTTGGATGTGGAACATTCATTACCTGCAAGGAGATTGATTATAAGTGACACAATATTAAGTAGTAGTATAAGATGCAGTATCAGATGATAAAGATGTTTCTTGTTTTACTCACAGTGGCAGTAGGTTCCAGGACACACATTTCATATAATATGGCAGCGGAAGCATAATCAAAGAGATGACCACGCCTGCAATAAAAATTACATCAATGCCACATTCAAAGACAATAGACCGGGAAACAACGATAAGCATGAAAGTTGATAAACGTACATCCAATTGAAGGTGGCAATGCCTTCTTCTGATTCGTGTGAACAGTGGATTATCCAAAATTCTTCTGGTTCATGTGCCTGGATCTCCCAGTATCTCTCTACAATAAAGCCAAGTGTAGGAAACTGCAGTATAAAGTAGAAATATATCAAACCTAGCAGCATGAATCAATGCATACTCTGAATCTGATATGCCTAATGGTAGTTCTGAAGAAAAATATTGGCACTGGTATCAAAACTACCTGACAAGGACCATAACTTATAACACGACTCCTCTCCTCACCACCCGTGGAGTCAATAGAGAACCTATCTTTCAGCAGCATAGTCTGAAATCTAGTGAAAGAAGCACCAATGCGTAGATCTATTTCCTAAAGTATTCAAAAGAATATGTTAGCCAATACAAATATGAAAGAGAATACTAACGCATAGCATTACAGGGTGTTTTCAAGAGAAACTCACTTGTCTAGCATCTACAGCCTCAGCAAACAATTGATTAGGCTCTCGGAGATTTTGAACTGCTTCATGAATTTCCCTAGAAATTTCCAATGCCAACACACAGTTAGACTAGGTTCAATGGATTGAAAGTAGGAGTGAGCAAGAGAAAACATATGAAAAATAGCATTCTCTACCTGTCAATTAACGCAGAGAAATGAGCCCTCCGTATGAAAAGATTATGTTTGACAGCTCTGCAAACATCTACAACTTCAAATGCAATGTTTTCACCTTCCCTATCACAATCAAGCCACAGCACAAGCCAATCGCTTTTCCTTGCTTCCTCCTCCAACGTCCTCTTGATATCTTTTTTATCCTAACTCGCTCAAAACCAGAATTAAACAAAAACTTAAAACCCAGCATACCCACCTTCATCATAAGGCGGAACAAAGGCCAAAGTCCCATTTTCTACAATTATAATCACCAGATAAACAAGAACAACGCGACCCAAGAAAAAAATTTCTAATTAGAGAAGCTTTGACCAAATCAACTACCCAAAAATTACAAATACCTCGGGAACGTGTTTCATGACCGGAGCTTGGTAGAGATCTGCCGGGTCGCAGGAGTGCCATTTGCGGAAGCGATCAGCGAACTCAAGCTCCATCAAGTGACCGATGACGGATGTCATTAGCATACGGCATGGCTGGCCATTGATGGCGTAATCAAACTCAAAGATTTTGTTGTACCGAGACCTACCCTCCCGAGTCCGGAAACTTCCACGGGATAGAATCCCCGCCACTGACTTCGCCACGGAAGGTTTCTCCGCCACGTTTAACACCGTCACGGGACCACCGCCTCGCCGCGACATCGTCGGTGAAAAGCCCTAACGGTTCGTAATTTCGATTTTTTCCAGTGAATTTTTCCCGCCCTTGTGGCGGCTTCTTCTGGCGCGTCACTTTGACCGACAAACATTTTCAGTCTTTAGTCAATTTACGTTGTGGAAAATTTTCGGAAATTACAAATAAATCCTTATGTTTGCTATTTTATTTTGGGGGCCGGCCCAAAGTTTCTCATTTGTGTAAGGCCCAAAGTTTTCAATGCTCTTTCGAAAATTAGTTAATACAGTACTTAATAAGTAGTTAATAGTTTAGCAAAAATATTGAAACAAAACAAAATTACCACAACTTTGTTTACTCACGGTAACACAATTGTTCAGTCTACCACAATTGTTATTGTTATCAAAATCTGAACAAATTACAACAATATCATTGTAAAAGTGGAATTATCATTTATCAGATTATATAGAACACAATTATTTATCATCGATGGTCAAAACAAAACTTGCAAGTGTTTGACGAGGTTATTGTTTGAAATTCTAAGTACAATTGCAAATTTAAAAAAAATAAATAAATAAATAATTCCGTTATACAATATAGTCTGTAGACTATAGGATTAGGCCATTAATCTAAGAATCGGCAAGTAATCGAGAGAAAGTCAAAGAGTTGACCAAGATGAATTTCTCTCCGATAGCAATCTCCCTTCTCTTCGCTCTTCTATCGCCGACTCTTCTATCTTGCTCCGGCGATTCCAGCACCGTCGAGATTGAATCTCCGCCGACTGTATGTATCATCGGGAGTGGGATCGGAGGCTCATCCGTCGCTCATTTCCTCCGTAACTACTCCGTTTCTACCGGCTTGGACCGAGCCCGGATCCTGATGTTTGAGCGTCACGAGGTAGTCGGTGGGCGCATGAGGACCGTTACCGTCTCCGGTGATACGTTCGAGGCCGGCGGTTCGATCCTGCACCCGAAAAACTATCACGCACGGGACTTCGTCGAGAGGTTCAATTTGACGGTCCGATTGCCGACGGCGATTGAGGAGTCTTGCGCTATTGGAATCTGGGATGGGAAGAAGTTCATCTTCAAGACCTTCGGTTCGAGTATCAAATTTCCTTTTGTGGATAAGATCGTCTCTTGGGTGAATGATCTGTACATGTTCGTGCGTTACCGGTTTTCACTGTTCAGAATGAGTAGCTTCATTGAGGTAATATTTCTTAAAATGATCTTCAGTTTACAGTTGAAATGAGCAAATCACCCTTAAATGTTTCAAATTGACATCAGATTAGAATGTAAAATGCAACAAATGATTAGTTAGCTCTGTGTGAATTTGAGGATGTACTCTTTTTAAGTCTTAACATTGACTCAAATCTGCTTTTGTTAGTGTTTGTGGATCATCTTGAATCTTAAACTGATGCACATTCATGGATGTAGAACACAGTTGGTAATTTCTTGAAGTTCTACGAAAGCCTAGAATCAAGACCAATCTTCGACAGTGTTGAAGGGATGCTGAAATGGTCGGGCTTGTACAATCTCACAAAGCTCACTCTACAGGAGAAATTATCTGAAGCTCAACTATCTCCTTTATTAATCAACGAGCTGGTTACTGTAAAGCTTTTTCACTTGTTTCAGCTTATAACTGTTCTCTTTCCAAGTCCTTTTGTACATGCAAATACATTTTGATCTCCTACTTGTATTTTCTTTGTCGTCTCCAGGTTATTACAAGGATAAACTATGGACAAAGCGTACTCATAAGTGGACTAGCTGGTGCAGTCTCATTGGCTGGTTCAGGTGGAGGATTATGGTCTGTCGAAGGTGGGAACTGGCAGATGGCTGCAAAACTGATCAACCACTCAGATGTTACCTTACACCTGAAGGAGCAAATCGAATCCATTTCACATCTCGGTAACTATTACGAGCTCAACTCCACAAAAGGAAACAGCTTCAAGTGTGATGTCGCAGTCGTTTCCACACCTTTAGACGAGGTGGATATTCAGTTTTCACCGTCGATCTCAATTCCCAAGAGGGAATTACAGCACACACACGCAACATTCGTTAGGGGGCTTTTAAACCCAGTAAGTATCATCAATCACTGTGTAGTTTTGGTGATGATGGTTCTTGTTTGCCTCCACAACTAATTTTTTTTAATGCTTTTCTTTCTGAATAAAAAGGGGTATTTTGGGATGAAATCGGTTTCGGATGTTCCAGCCTTGGTGGGAACTCTTGAAGATCCTCTAATTCCGTTCTCATGCATCTCGATTCTAAGGAAATATAGCGAAACAGATATGACGTACAAGATATTTACGCGACAGCCTGCTTCAGATTCTTTGCTTGATGAGCTCTTCAGGTAGTTTACAACACAACCCGTCTCGGATTCATTACTAACTTAAATCTCTTTCAGTTTCGCTAAAACTGGTCTTTCTTCTTCCTCAAACAGTGCGAGAACCGAGACCGTTCGCATAGACTGGGGTGCATATCCCAAGTACCACGCGCCTGAAGTTTTTGCACCCTTCATATTGGATGATCACCATTTGTACTATGTGAATGCTTTTGAAAACGCGGCTAGCACAATGGAGACAAGTGCAGTGGCAGGTGAGAATATTGCGAGACTCATAATTTCCAGATTCAGGACAAAAGAATCATCCTTTCCCTCGGACACAAGAAGCTGTAGATCTGTTCTGCACACAGACTTGTGAACAGACTTAAGGTCCACAATGAACAGAGACTTTGACTGTGTTCTGTGAAGAAGAGTATGAGTTTATGTACATAAAGAAAGAAACATAAAGGTGTAAAAACTGTAACCTAAGCTTTGTTTGTTTTCAGTTGTTGAATCAGTAAATGAAAAATGAAATTTCAAACAAAAATATATTTTTCTTCAGTAAATGAAATTTAAAAGATTGAAAAAAACATATAATAGATTATAGAATAATTCAAAAAAGGAAAATTTTCTAATTTGTTTTTGATAAAATCTCGGGTTTATAAATTAATGTAAAATGAAGAATCCCGTAAACATAGAAGAAACAGCCCATTTTAGGCAGAAGACGCGTATTCCCACCAGCGTTGTCTTTGGTAATAGAGCAGAAGCGAAGAGGTCAATCAATCTGATCGGCGATGGGTTGCTTCAGTTGCTTCGACGGAACCCAAAAGCAACAGCGTAAGGAAGAAGAGAGACAAGCCTCCGCCGAAGCTCGTGCCAGAGCCGCCGAAGCTGCCATGCGACGGTTTCCTCTCTTTTCTCTTCTTCTATCTTTTGTTTTCCGATTTCGAATCGCATCTATTGAAATTGACTCTTTTAGGATGTAGAATCTTAAATTCCTTAACAATTCCAATTTCACTGAATCGAAAAGATGTTTGGACTATTGAGGCAGAGCTCGTTTCTGAAATTTGTAGATATGGTTTTTGTTTTTGTAACGCAGACAAGAACAGTTTGAAAAGTCTGCAGCTGGAAGGGCTGCACAAGCTCAAATACAGCAAATGGCAAAACAATCAGCTAATACTAACAAAGGAGAGCCTGTTCTTAAGGTGTTGTTTTTCTCCACTTCTTTTTCATCAATTATGTATTATCAAGTTATGAAGTTTTGATTATTTAACTTAACCTTTGCTATGAATTGCAGTGGCAAATGACGTAGCGATGAGAGCGGGTTTTCTAAGAGTTGTGTGATTCTCAAGGTTTGCAAGACTTTTTAATGTGCTTCTGATTCAATCTGATTATCTTTTGAATTTGCAAGCAAAGAAAACAGAGTAACAAGTTTGTTGTATATGTATAGTAGTAATAAATGTTAACAACAGATCATCTCTCTGTTTTATTGTGAGCTCTGTTTGCATTTGTTCAATTAAAGTTGTTTAGGTCAATCTGGGAATCTTAAGTTAAGTGAGCTGATAGCTTTAGTTCGATTGGCATGAGCATTAGATTCATCTAAGCATCTGTAATTTGTGGGAATGTCGGAGACCGTTTTTTTAGTTCACCATGATGCCAACCTTTTCAGTTTAAGCCATAACTCTATGGAAATGGCTTTTATATTGCATTTTGTTGGTTTCTCTAATTTTTTTTTTGTATACAATAGCTTTAATCATTAGAAAAACAGAAGAGACGATGGATCAGATCAACGTGTCTATTTTCATAAGACTCGCATCTAGTTATAGACAAAGATGTACAAGTTATATGCTTTGTTATCGTTCCACATCAAGAGCTGTTAAGTAAGCTCCACAATATATGTCAAATGGAATCGATCTTTTACATCACCAAAAAAAAAAAGGTCAGGACTTGTTCCACTCCTATTCCGTGAGGCTTGACTCTCTAGAACCTGCTCTTTGCATCAGAAACTTATGGCACATGACAGTACCAACAAAATCAAGCATCCCATGTTTCACAATCTCCAGCCTCTCTGAACTTTCCATTACCGAGAACCCAAACCGCTGAGTCCAAGTGGTGACAACCTCTGCAGCAGCCGGTAAGACCAATCTGTAAACTCCCATTTTAGACATTTGCTTCTCCAGCTCATCCATAAGCACTCTACACATCCCACTTCTCCTGTATTCAGACAATGTCGCCACCAAAGGGATCTCCGCCACGTCCTTGTCAACTCTAACTGCCGCCGCCGTTATAGGCTCGTTGTTTCTCTCAATCAAAACCGTGTAAAACCCGCGTCCCACGCCGGTTGCGTCTTTCCTGAACACCAGCTCCTCAACAAGGTCTCTCCCAGAGAAAGGATCTTTCGTAGGCTCAAATCCCTGGTGAAGTATCTCAACAGCAGAACCTAGCTTGGAGATCTGTTCATCGTCATAGTGTTCACCGTCGTTGGGAGCTCTCATCAATGTCCAAACCAAATCCTCGTCCCCTACTGCAATCTTACGTCCTAGGAGACTCTGAAGCGCGGAGAAGACTCTGCTGCATTGGCTACTACAGAACCAGCCTCTACATGAAACAAGACAAGGCTCTTGTTTTAAACACTTTAGATGGAACCTTCTTTGGCATTGCTCACAAGTCATCAGCTTGCTGTTTCCTGATGTCTCCATCGACCCACAGATATCGCAGCAGCAACAAGGACAGAACCAGAGCTCTTCCTCCGGAAGACTCGTGAAGCCGAGGCAAGTATGGTGAAAAGCTGATGGACAACCATCGCACAGAAGCAAGTCTCCACCCCAATGACAAACGCAACACACATCACAGTTGTTCTCCGGACCACAGTCTTTCCTCCAGAATCTTACAGACTCTCTTTCACACTTGTTGTTCTTCTTCTCCATCACTTGTAGGATCTTCCTCAGAGATTTCTCAAACCTTGGCCTTATCTCTCCCTTATCTTCACTCGGAGTAGAGCTAATAAACGCAGCATCCGTCACCATTCTTGTCGTCTTCTTATTCCGTTGCTGGTTTATTACATCAAGATTGAGAACGATTTTGATCAAATCAGACGAACGATTCTTCTCTCCGTCCTTCCGAGTTTCCCCATTAAACGCAGCCGTAGAGCAATCCTCCACTTGCTTCTTCTTCGGTACATCAACATTGGGAACGATTTTGACCAAATCGGACGAACGATTCTCTCCGTTGAGGGATGTGCCATTAATATCGCAACCCCTCACCATCTTCCTCTTCTTCGCCTTCGGTACATCAACATTGGGAACGATTTTAATCAAATCAGAAGAACGATTCTCTTCGTTGAGGGTTGTGCCGTTAATATCGCAACCCCTCACCGTCTTCCTCTTCTTCTTCGACACCTCAACATTCGGAACGGTTTTGACGGAAGCGGACAAGACAACTTTCGGGGGGAGGGTTCGTTGTTGTCTGTCGTCGTCGTCGTCGTCGTCGTCGACACAGCTCAAACAAGCTGTAGCCAAAGAGTAAAACCACCTCCCTTTGGGAGACTTATAACGCAGCTCTCGCTTCTTCTTCCCTCTGTGAATGTAAGCGAAGCCCCAGCCAAGAGCCGAGAGATGCTTCTTCACCTTCATCGAGATATCCGACGACCGCCGAGTTCCTTTGGGTCCGTCTCGTACAACAGATAGCCATTGTTGGATTGATCCTGGGTTCAATTCCGCTTCTACGCTAAAGAATTCACAGCGATCCTCCATGTTTTTTTTCTAGAATTCGTATGATTAAGGAGACAGTTGGATCTTACTCTCTAGGTTATGACACCATGGGTTTTTTAGAGGGTTTATTTATTATATGTTGAGAATGAAAAAAAAAGGAAGTTTTCCATTAATTAATCTATAATACTCGTGCGCTCTTTTTTTAAAAAAAAATAATTTTTGCATGAGATAATTAACTTTACTTGGCAATGGCAACATGTTTAAGACTTTAATTGGGGATGGACATTTCTTCTGAGTATTTTCCTTGTAGTGTTTGGCTTTGTAGCGAAAACTTTCAAGAATTTTTTTTTATTAAAAAGGCAAACGTAAAATTAGAGAATTGGAGAAACACATTATTCAAAAATTTGATTGGATAAGTGTTGTGAATCCCTTGGTCACAGCTAAATCGCCTGCGGAATACCCAACTAATCCGTAATTAGACTCCATTCATCGATATAGACAAACTAAAAAAGAGATACATTCATAAAGAAACAAAAAAAAAAAAGGCATAATCACAATGCGTCAATGATTTAATTGTTCGTCGTAAAGAGATAAACTAATAGTAAAGAAGAAGACTTTTATAAAGGAGTGTTGAGATCAAGACTCATACAAGTGGATATATTTTTGAGTATGTCAAAAGATGCATTTAGTATATTGGGGAGGAGAACGTTGTTAAGTGGTAACAGATATGGATGATTTGCTTGCATGCTTATATATATATATATATATATTATTTTTTTTGCTATGAATGAAAAGTAGAGATAATACAAAAAAGCATTACATAAATTAGAATAATTTTGGCAAAAAAGAAGTAAAAATAAGATTACAATCTAAATACTGATTTGGATCAACTTTTCTTGATGCACTTAATTATCAGATTACATTAAGAGCTAGACTTGCTGGAATGGATAAAAAATATACAATAGATCGCAAAGTTGAATTCGGAAAGTTTATCACTATTTTATATGCTCCTGATTATTCACAGCTCCAAGTATTTTCAAATAATCATCAATAACTGAAGATTCATGGAGATCATATCTTATTAAAAAAAAAAAAACATATATTATATTGTAGGTTCTTAATTTCTCTGATCCTTAATTTAAAAGTCTGTGCAGTTATTCTGCAACCACAGATAAATTGATTCATCACTCTCAATAGAGGTATAAAAAACAAAAGAGCATATATTATATTGTAGGTTTCTGATTTCTCTAATCCTTAATTTAGAAGTTTTGACACAATTACTCTACAACCAAATGTAAATTGATTCACCAATATGATTTTGAAAATGTAATTGATTCTGATGATAAAATGGATAAATCAACGATGGACAATAATGACGAACAACCAAATTACTAACGCATGGTAATTTTCCCAAATGTGATTTCTTCACCGTTCCATTTTATTTATCTTCTTCGACAAGGCAAGGGTAGACGGAAACCCATATAATCAGATGGGCCCATATATTATTATTGGCCCGAAAGCCCGGAACATCTGGACATGGTAAAAACAAACCGACCATCACTATTATACATGTTATATATATGTTACAAGAATTCGAAAGGATTGTTGACAAAAAAAAATTAAAAACAGTTCGAAAAGATTCTTCAGAGATATTTTCTGTGTACATCGCGAGGAGGTGAGTTTTCTTTCTATTGATAAGGGTTTAGTTCTAGGATGTCTCTCACAAGTGCGTTTTTATGAGAGTCTAGATCACGAAAAATTTGATAATTTGCATTGGATTATATGTATGTAGTAGGTCTGAAATTGTCATATCGGAGATGAAATTAAAATCAACCTCTGGTGTTGGTCGGAATCGGAAGGCGCCGCCGTTCAGATATTTTAGTTCCTTTGAGAGCCTGCTTAGGAGCTTGCTCAGCTCAGTCAGAAACTATTGAGATGTTGGTTTTTGTTTTTGTAGGAGCTTCGCTGGAAAAGATGACATGGAAGAGGAGGTTGTGCGATTAGGAGTTGAGCTCTCGGTCTCTGTGGCTGAAACGATGTTCTTGCTGTGTGATGACATACGCACTCTGTTATGCTTCTGCTTGAGGTTGTATAAATACGTAGTACCGCAGCAGGGTGCCGTGTCAGAAAGGCTGCTTCTTGTGATTCACCATGTCTACTCGAAAGATATCAAACCCAAGAATGGAGTCTATCGCAACGGTGACGGCAAGTCTGCACAATGGAATCTTATCAGGACAAGTTGGAACGATTATGTTTGCGGAATCTTAGTTTTGCAACGCCTTGTTATGGTTCTCAGAAGAACAGATTTCTGTTTCGATGATCGGCTGTTGTTGTCGGCTATTGAAAAATACAAGCGACAGCTGAAGAGCCTAGAGGGTAAACTGAGGTCCGCTAGGGATGTTTCAGAGGCCAATGGGTTTGCGAGGGAGAAGATAGAGTCTGACACTTGTCACTTTTGGAAGTCTCTCTTCGATGAAGAAGGTGGCGAAGTAGTGATAACGAAAAGCATTCTTGGCGACTTGTTTGAGCCGGATTTGGATGTGGATATGGATACGGAGATAAGGGCACTGCCCCTGTTTTCTCCTTACGTTTTAGGGCGGGGTTTTGCAAAGGATGAGCTACAACACGAGGCTGTGCGACTAGGAGTTGAGCTTTCGCTATATGTGGCTGAATCGATGTTCTTGCTGTGTGGTGGCATTCGTCGGATGTTATGGTTCTGCTATGAGTTATGGAGAGATGCAAAAAGGGACTGGAATCGCAATAGTCCCGTTTTGGAAAGGGTGATACGCGTGATGCATTATGTCTATTTCAAAGATATCGAACCCAAGAATGGAGTATATGATCCTAATGCTCCCGCCTCAATCCTTGTGAGTCTGGCCAGACTGACTTTGCCTAGTTTTGATGATGTAATCATATCTCTGGATGCGCTTGTTGCGGTTTTTAGCGGCAGAGGGGGATTTGGACGTGGCCGAGAGATTATCTCTAGGATTGAACGAGAGCTCGGGAAAGTAGATGACAAGTTGAGACTTGCCAAGTCTATTTCAGAGGCGAATGGGTTTAGGATGGAAGCGATACAGTGTAGCCTTTTTGCCTTGTGGGAGTCTCTCTTTGATAAAGACGCCAAGGAAGCAACACAGACTCTCAAAGTGATCAACCATGACCTTGTTCTCGACCTGTTTCAACCTTTAGTGAACGAAGTTGCACCACAACCTTTACCTTTTCTTGTCTGATTCTTGTCTTGTAAGACATGTTGATTCTTTTCCCAAATAAATCTATTTGTTTTTTTTATAGAGCAAAATTGCGTTATTACAGGATACGTCAGGTTTGGTGATTGGTTGGTCCATTAAGCGTTAGTTTCTGGTGTGGACAGCTCCACGTTTTTATGTAGATGAGCAATGAACAAAAAGTGAGTATGAAAACAAAGCAAGAAACTTATGCTTGGATGCGATGTGAAAGTTGTTATAAATGTCGCTGGAATCATGAGCAAAAAAAACGTATGATGTTACAGATTCATATGTATGCTAAGTACAGTTTAGGTCTTAGAAGACGATGAGCCAATAGTCTATAATTGCCTGAAACTAAAGAGGTTGACATATGTGTGTCATTGCAGCTTGGAGATGGATTGATCTATGAAGCTGTGGATGATGTGAATAGCTTTCCTCACTTTTATGGTCCAACAAAAAAGCTTTCTTCTTCTTCCTGTAGATTCTGTCTTCAACTCTCGGTCTCTATATTCTCTACCTCTGCACTATAGGAGTTGGAGTAATAAGCCGCCCTCATTGACGAGAGGTGGCTTGTGCAAGATCACGTGAGACTTCTATTAGAGCTGCCATAGCCGCGCTAATACTTGTTTGACAATTAAGAAGGTGTACAATTGATTGTGTGTTCGGCTCGATGGTACCGCCTGTAGCTAGAATGTAGATGAGACGAGAAGCTTCAGTGGCATGTTGCGAGGCTTGGAGAAGTTCATCATCGATTTCATCTTTAGTAGGTGCTGAAGCTGGCTCTGTAGCAGTTGCTGGTGGTGCTGAAGCTGGCTCTGTAGCAGTTGCTGGTGGTGCTGAAGCTGGCTGCAGCGAGGCTGGTTTGGCTTGGTCGGTTGATGGTGTAGAAGTGTCCATGGGCTTGTAGAACGTATGATCTAAGTTCTCCCAAGGGTTGAAGTCAGCATCGACTACGATATGGTCAGCTTCCCAATAGCTTTTCAGATCCTACATGAGAGAAATCCTCGTTACTGTCAGAATATGATACATCAATATGAGATATATCACAAAGGTATGAACTTTCTATATCTAGAAGATGGAATTGAAGCAGGAGATGTTAACTATACAAATATCACAAAAAGGTATTTCCAACAAATTGACTTTAACCGAAGCAGATAAGGCAAAAAAAACAACACCGACCTTATAAAAAAGAGGCAACGAAACTTTGCAGGTATCGTAGTCATCCTTTTCAAACGCCTCCTTCAATTTCAAAAGCTGGTCCAACAGTTCAAATTCCCGTGGATCCATGTCATGTAAGTCCAAGTGAAAGCAAGATATAGTGCAGAGATACAAAAGATATACAGACTTCTTTTCACGAGCTAAAAACTCCAGCTGAACAGACCTTGGATCCCACGGAACCAGAAGACAAATTCCATAAACGACGCTTTTTGTTCTCCATGAACTTTTGACAACCTGGAGAGCGTAATAGAAATGCAGTCAACTAGGGCAAACAAGTTACTAGAATCAAAAGTTAAAACACTTTTTCTACATTGCAACATTCCTAAAGATCAAATAACCTTAGGTTCGAGCCATCGACTAGATGTTCAATTCTATTCAAGACCAATCAAAAACAGAGCACATGAATATACAATTGACCAAAGAGAGAAACTCTCGAGAAACATTTACGGAAAGACAAAAGGTTCTGCGATTAAAACCCAAGATTCACCGATAATCAGCATGAAGAAATCAAAAGTCTCCGTTCCCGCCAAAACTTGGCGATGAAGTTTCAGGAGATAAAACAAACTATACCAAAGATTCTCCGGGGAAATACTTAGCGAGAATCATCAAAACTTTAAGAAACTAAAGGAGAAGACGAATGACGTAAAGAGGAAGAAGAAGAAGAAGAACCAAGATAGTGTAAGAATCGGGAACGAGGATGAAAGCGAATCAATCACGAAATAGCGAGATCTAAAGCTTGAAATCACTTCGCATACCTTGAAAACTCGAGTAGCGAAGCCAACTTCGTGCTCCTCTGTTTCGCTTGCTCCAGAACAGTGTGAAAATGGAGACGGACGAATATGGTTATATATAGAGCTAACGGTAGACATAACGGCGGTACCGTTCCGTGATTAGTCTAAGTGCGAGCGAGAGAGAAAGAGAGAGAGAGAGAGAGACACGTGTAATTAAAAATGGTCATCTCACTAGATAAAGCCCAATTACGGCCCAATTTTATAAATGGAGATTCTTCGTCTTCCTTCCCGTTATTAAAAAAAATTGGGAATCACTGGAGAAAGAATCTAACAAAGAAATCTGGGGAGAGAAATTCAGAAAGGTGATTGAGAAACAACAAAATGGGAAGCGCACCAGCCCAGATTCCGACTAGTTTTGGCCACGAGCTTAGGGCTTGTCTTCGCTGCCGACTTGTGAAAACCTATGACCAGGTCTCTTTGATTCTTTCACGGTTTCTGTTAGGGTTTTTTATTTTTTTCATCTCCTCTTCCTTTTGTATCATTCTCGGTGTTTGATTTCTCCTCTAAATATCTCAGCTCGATTTTGGTTCAATAGTTCAGGGACGCTGGGTGCGAGAATTGTCCTTTCTTCAAGATGGAAGAGGATCACGAGCGAATTGTGGAAGTTACTACCCCTAATTTCAATGGGTATGTCCTGAAATTGAAACTCTTTAATAACTTCTGTTCTTGGGTAGTCAAAGTTTTTGATTTTATGGGTACTATTCATAAACTTCTAGGGTTTCAAAAGTTTCAATTTTGGTGTGTACTAGTGGAAAGTTCTCTGAATCGTGGAGTGATTCTGCTGAGTATGAAATTTAATTCCTCTCGGAACAATGTATAAAGTGACGCTTCTTGGTTTCCGAGCTTTCACTGAACTAGCATTCTTGTTGGATCAGTGGTTTACTCAATAGTGGCAAATTGGCCAAAGCTTGGATCAGTGGTTTACTCAATAGTGGCAAATTGGCCAAAGCTTACTGCTTTTTTTTTTTTGTGCGAAAAGCTTACTCCTTTCAGACTCGTTTTTAAAAACTGAAGTGAGCGAGTTAGTGGGTTATGTTCATGTATGTCTCTTTTGGCAAGTTGATGGTATTTTCGTAATTCTAGCTGCTGATATGGCAAGACTGTTTTTGCAGTATAATCTCTGTGATGGATCCAAGTAGAAGCTGGGCGGCTAGGTGGTTAAGAATCGGTATGATGTTAATCGCTCTCTTCAATGATCGACTTTCCTTTCTGAGCTCAGCAAACAACCTAGTTTGTTCTTTCCATCAATGTGTTCCTATTCTCTCATCATTATACTCTGATAGATTTGAGATGGTGAGATTACTCTTACATCCATCACATCTAACTTGTATTAAAGATCAGTGAGTGATCATAAAACCTACGATAAAAGCTGACAGACAAGAGTTATGTGATTTCCTGTTTCTACAAGAATGTGGCTCAGAGGGCTTGAGTCTAGTATAAATTAGAATGTGGCTTTATATCTGAAGATTTTCAATCTACTTTGCCTAATTTGTATTATTTGTAAGATTAGCTGCTGCTGATTGTATGATATCTGCTGAACTTGACAGGGAAGTTTGCTCCTGGTTGCTACACTCTTGCTGTCTCAGAGCCACTCCCAGAGGAAATGCAGGTAATATATATATTCTCTTCACGGTTTGAGATTGGAACTCTTCAACATATAACAACACCTTTCTTTGTGTTTTGAAATTAGAACATTTGGCTCCATGAAATGAAGTCAGAGTGTTCTTGCTTTCTCTAACTTTGTTTTGCTTTCTTTCGCATTTTGGTGATTTGCTGCAGCACTTGTGCCAAGAAGAGCGTGTACAATATGTTCTGCCGAAACGCATGTGAAGCAAAGACAGACCAAAGTGTTGCTCTTTCTTATGTTTGCTTCATGTAACAGATTTGTAGAAAACATCCACTTTCACTTGAAATAGAGTATTGTTTCCTTTGAAACAAAAATGATCATGAATTTATAAATCAACATCTCAGGGATTTTCGACCAAATGCTTCTTCAAGAGCATCGCCTGTGTGTCAAAGTCTGCGAAAAAACTTTATTTTATGGATCGAATTAATGAAACCATAAATTACAAGGCAACACTAAGCTTCTTAGGAATTAGAAAACTTTAGGTCTAACTAGGAGTATATTTTTGTTAATACTAGTTGTTTCCATTTGTATGAGAATTTTAGTAAGATGTTTGTAGAATAAAAAAGAGAACAAATGGCTTCCTGCTAGTTCCAAAAGAGAATTAAGGAAAAGAAAATACTATTGTTTCCCTGAAAAATGGCTTCTCAATTTCCACTAGAACATAAAACAAAAGCAAAGGAAACTATAAAAAGAAAACAAATTGTAAAAATTTATATAAGAAAAAATTGTAGTATAAAAAGAAATGATTTTCCTAACATAGCTATCAATCAAATTCATTCAATTAAGAAACCATAAATGAAAATTTTCAATAGGAATACAAAGAAAATAAAACAATTTTAATTTCCGATAACGGCCTGATCGTTCCGTGAGGAATCTGTAATTTTAATAACAAATCTAATAATATGGGCTTTACTGTTTCTCGGCCCAAATAACAACACATGGATATTCTTTAGAGACCTTCGATCTAAGACAAGCTCTCATCTCTTTCCCTCTCGCCGGCGACAAACATTCCGGTAAAAATGTCGTTCGATTTGTCTCTTCGTACCCTTTCTTCTTCGCCTCGTCTCTCGTTTTCAACTCAAGCTGCTGCTAGTAAAGGTACTAAATTCATCAGAATTGATGTGGGTTTTTTCCAATTCTAGATTCTCTTAAAAGCTTAATTTCCGGATTCATTCGATTATGAGGATTGTGTTCCGTTTTTTCTTTGCTCAATCAAATGCAAAATTGCGTTTTTACAGGATACGTTAGGTGCTCGATGAAGTCGTACAGATTATCTGAACTTAGTTTTTCTCAAGTTGAAAATTTGAAGGCACGACCTCGCATTGACTTCTCTTCCATCTTCAGCACTGTAAGTTTTCTCTTCTTCTTCTTCTTTGCTTGAGAATTTTCCACTTGGCTTATCAATGACATGAGCTCGCTCATATCCCACTATCAATCAGGTTAACCCAATCATCGACGCGGTTCGTAGCAAAGGAGATATTGCTGTCAAAGAGTAAGTGCCTCATTACTGACTCTTTGTCTTTTAATTCCATTCTTCCTATGAACGCTCCTCATTACATTTATACTGCTTCGGTTTCAGATACACTGAAAGATTTGACAAAGTTCAGCTGAATAAAGTGGTAGAAGATGTGTCCGAGCTTTCTAGTCCCCAGGTAGTAGATTATTAACACCGTATATATATATAAGTTCCGAATCCTCTTTCATGCTCCTTTCTCTGTATGAATGCCTCTTGTTGTGAATCCAGCTCGACTCCACAGTAAGAGAAGCGTTTGATGTTGCTTATGAGAACATATATGCATTTCACTTGGCACAAAAGTCATCTGAGCAGAGCGTTGAGAACATGAAAGTAAGTCGACTCAATCACACCTATATTACGTAATTATGTCTTCACACGTGCTTAATGATAATTCTTCACTTGTTAAATTTTGTTAGGGCGTTAGATGTAAAAGGGTGTCAAGATCTATTGGCTCTGTAGGACTTTATGTACCTGGTGGAACAGCTGTTTTGCCATCAACTGCGCTGATGCTTGCAATTGTAAGCTCTCCTGCTTAATCTAACTGCTTCTTTTGTTTCAATCTTCTTATAATTCTGGAATAATGTGGTTTTCTTTCTCCTTACTCTATCTTCCTCTCTCAGCCTGCTCAAATTGCTGGATGTAAAACTGTTGTTCTCGCAACTCCACCAACTAAAGAAGGAAGCATATGTAAGGTAGTACTCAATCTTTTTTGGGAACTTTCAATATAACTCACAGTTTTATCTGTCTTGATACTAAGCTGATGAGTTTGTGATGTTGTTGATGCAGGAGGTGCTGTATTGCGCCAAGAGGGCTGGTGTAACTCACATACTCAAAGCTGGTGGAGCGCAGGTGTGGTTGTCTTTTGGTCTCTTGGCATATTTTTTCATGTTAGTTATCTTTGCTTTCCTATCCAAGATCGTGAAATTGCCATTTGTTTTTTTCGCTTTGCAGGCTATAGCTGCCATGGCTTGGGGGACAGATTCTTGTCCTAAGGTATAAACAAGGATCAATGTGCCTGAGTAGCTTACAACAGACGTTTTCCCAAGACATGAATTTGGTTTGGTTACTATGGCAGGTTGAGAAGATTTTTGGTCCTGGGAATCAGTATGTTACGGCGGCTAAAATGATTCTTCAAGTACAGATTATCGTTACTCTGTTATTTGTGCTCCTTGCTCGTTCTTTAACTTATTTTGTACTCATTTTTGTTTGATTTTGATTACTGCAGAATAGCGAGGCAATGGTTTCGATTGATATGCCTGCTGGTCCTTCAGAAGTTCTAGTGATCGCTGACGAACATGCTAGTCCAGTTTACATTGCAGCGGACTTGCTTTCTCAGGTAATTTCGCATTTGTCTGCCTTACCATTGATTTCTTCTTATCGAACCTGCTTCTAACTTGTATGCTTCTTTCTTTGTTGGTTTCTCCGCAGGCTGAGCATGGTCCAGATAGTCAAGTTGTTCTTGTTGTTGTAGGTGACGGTGTAGATCTCAAAGCCATTGAAGAAGAAATTGCCAAGCAGTGCAATAGCCTTCCTAGAGGAGAATTTGCTTCAAAGGCACTGAGTCACAGTTTCACAGTCTTTGCTCGAGATATGATTGAGGTACAACACTTCTCTTCACGGTTCACACTTACTGTTAACTATCTAAACCAACTTGTGTATCATCACCATTCGCACTTTAATTTTCCTCCAGGCCATATCTTTCTCAAATCTGTATGCTCCTGAACATTTGATCATCAACGTCAAAGACGCTGAGAAATGGGAGGGGCTGATCGAGAATGCAGGTTCGGTTTTCATAGGGCCGTGGACTCCAGAGAGTGTTGGGGATTACGCGAGCGGGACAAACCACGTTCTTCCAACGTACGGATATGCAAGAATGTACAGTGGCGTCTCGCTAGACTCTTTCCTGAAGTTTATGACCGTACAATCTCTGACAGAGGAAGGTCTTAGAAATCTCGGTCCGTATGTGGCGACTATGGCTGAAATCGAAGGTCTGGATGCACACAAGAGAGCCGTCACGCTCAGGCTCAAGGACATTGAAGCCAAACAGCTATCCCAAACAAATTGATCTAATGCCAGTTTCAGATTCGCTTTGTACAATCAGGCATATTAGGGATTTTCCGTGATTTAGATGATATATCTTCTTAGAGACTTGTTGTTTTAAACCTTTTATCTATATTTTCTTTGTAAAAGTTGTTACGTTGGATTCTGTTAGCGGCTTCATCTTCATTATTTCACTCTTCCCCTTGAGCTAATGATTGAAATTCGGAGAACAAGATTGTGTTACAAGTATTGCTCTTAGGTTTTAGGCTTGCCTCTTACTCATGTTTAAAGCGTTGCTCCTCTATTTGTAGGTTGTGAAGTTTGCTTTGGATAATTCGTAAATCTTTTTTTTTTCATTCCGATTCTCGGATAAAAGACAACCTGACTGATCTTTGCTGTGATAGATTACACTGAGGTCATCATCGTGTCTCAATTATACATAAAAACATTAAAGAAAACGTGCTAAAAGTATTTCGTTTTGACGATCAGTTTCTTGAAGCTCAAGCTGGCAAAGGTTCTTCGAGAACTGCAGCAGGAAAGGAACAGAGCAAACAAAGCATGTCTGAGTTTAGTTCTTGCAATTCTAAAATACCATCACAAGGAGGAGACGAAGAAGAAGACAGTAAAAAAACCTTTTCTCTGTGTGGCGGATTCAGCTGGTGTTTTGGAAGCGACAGGTGTATCTGTTGGCACATCCGGAAGATCCAACTTCTCTGATTCTTCGGACTCCACAGTACGCACGTCAGGCAACTCATCAACAATAAGCTTTTGAAAAGAAAAAACATGCATCATCATTAGTCTCTCTCCCTAAATCAAAGATGATAATAAACAAGTTTGTTTCCATTTGACACATGAAACATACCTGACTTTCTAGGTTGTCAAATTCTGCTAATATCTCTTCTTCATCCTCTGCTGAAAGCTTCTCTCCCAGTATAGCATTCAGCTCCTGACATCCAAAAATGTTTTAGTGTCAACACAGAAGCTTGACTAAATGATTGATTACAGAGGATTTCCAAATGAAACGAGCTAGGGACACAATACAAGTGCTGGCAAAAGTGGTAACAGCAGAGGTGACTATAAACGCAAACCAAAGTTTTTGACTCACATCTTGATACGCTTTAGCATCGGCGGTATCATCCATAAGTTTTTGAACATCATCGAGGTCCACCTCGCTTTGAATCGCTTTAATAGCACTGCTTCCTTGCTTTAAGCTCTCAAACACTGCCTTTTGTTTGCTCGTAAGTTCAATATCTGCCAACTGATTCACATGAAAAGAGTTTGAACTAATGTCACTTTCAGTTTCTTGAAAAATCCACAAGTATGCGTCAAAAGAGATGATGCTGGACAATAAACAGAGTAACAGACGCAAGAAAAAAAATTAAAAAGCCCTTAGGAGAAAGGTTTACTTGTTGTTCAACATTGATGACCCACTGATCTACTTGCTTCAGTAACTCTTCTTGCGTCCGTTTCTTCCTCAATGCTAACAAAGCCCTCTCCTTTCGATTTTCTCGGATTAAGTCTCTTGCAGCTTGCTTTTCCGCGTCAATTACTTTCTCAAGCTAATTTGCAAAGATGGGTTAAAAAAAGAAATGAGCTAAGAACTCAATAGCTGGAGTTGTTTTCATCACTACTAACAATCAGAAGAAGTATTGTGATTTTGTAGTTGAGGCATATCCAATTACTGTTCCTTACGATTCTTAGAGATTTCAACCAATTATGATTTTGAATGGATTAAAACTACATAGATAACCCTATTTGAACTCAGATTCCAAAAAAAAAAACGAAAGACCGAAACTTCGATCAAAATCAATCCATTGAATTTAAAGATAAACAAGTGAGAATCAAAAACCTGCTGCTGATATTGACCGAGCTTGCGTCTCTGGGTTTTAAGAGAGAGAATCGCTCGATCAACCTCCGTGATCTGTGGTTTCTTCACGAACAAATTCCCCATTTTTCAATTATCGAAGAAAATCAAACGATTCGATGAAAATTTGATTTCAAAAGAAAAATAGCAAGTTTAGACGAAATCGATTAGTCTATAGATTTCCGAAGAACGACGCCAATTTCAAACGAAGTCCAGTTTTTTTTTATTTCTCTTTTCTCTCTTACGCTTTTCAGTTGGATCAATCACAGTAAATGTTTGGGAGATGCATGAACCGGACCCAGGAAATCTAAGTCTAATCGAGATCGAACCGATGTTACTCAGTTTGATTTCATCTACACTGAAAAAATCGAAATCGAAATCGAAATTGAACTAAGCGTACCGAAATTCCATTAAAACGAAGTGAAATCCCAAACTGGAATCGAGACGTGGAACCGAAACAAAACCAATTCATATTCAGTTTTAACTTGGTTTACGTTTAATTCAAAACCGGAACAAACCAGTCAACCACCTCCCAGACAAAAAAAAACAAAAAGCGTTTTCTCAACTGCGTGATCGCAAAACGCAGTTGCAGCGTACTAGGTACATGAATCCAAAGCTAGACAGATAGATCTCGACGAGGGAAAGAGAGCCAAGTAGCTAGTAGTTGCATGATCGAAGCTGGACAAAAATTTAGTTGTCTCGACATATCAGCCGGTGAGTCTCACTCTGTTCCGAATTGTTCTTTGTCTTTGATTTCGATTTAGATAATTCAATTTCTAGACATGATTCGGTTTTGAGCTTTTGCTGTTATTATGAGTTATATAGATGTACTGATATATATATATCTATATTCGATTTTATGTTCTTATGGATTGGAAGATGTAAGGATGTTGGTTTGATTCAACTTTTATGTTCTACCTCTTCTTTTTCCCGAATCACTGATCTGTAACTTCGTCCTTAATGCTTTAGCTTTTGATCACCAAGACTTTGGCTATGTTTTTCATCACTTTCCTTTTGCTTATTCTGGTTTTGGTGATTCCCAATCGTTTCTATGGTTTTGGACCTCTGTTTGGTTTGAATCCTTACAGACTGTGTCTTCAGTTATGGAACCAATTCCGCCATCTCCAATCATATGGCCAAATGGTGGTGTCCTCACAAACGAATGGGTACATGGGTTAATGTCTTCTTTCGAATGGTCTTCATGGAATCTCCCTCCTTCCCAGTTACCATCACTAATGCCAGTTAATGTCATCGATTCCCTCATCCTCACGGCTTCCAAAATCCTCCACAAAGAGCGTAATTGTGTTCATGTCGATGATCTTGACTCTGAATCCAAGGTTGTTGTGGTAGGAGACATTCATGGCCAACTCCATGACCTTCTCTTTTTGTTGAAAGATGCTGGCTTCCCTTGTCAAAACCGGTTTTATGTATTCAACGGAGACTATGTTGATCGTGGTGCTTGGGGACTTGAGACATTCCTTCTCCTCTTGTCATGGAAGGTAAACTCTTTACATAAAGCTGTTGTGATATGCCTAATGTTGAATCCGCTCCAGTCTTAGTTTCTCACTTAAAAAAAAAATCTCATATCTTTTTGAACGTTTAGGTTTTGATGCCTAACAGAGTCTACCTTCTTCGTGGTAATCATGAATCGAAGTATTGTACGTCTATGTACGGTTTCGAAAATGAGGTGCTTACAAAATATGGTGACAAGGGAAAACATGTGTACCGCAAATGTTTGGGTTGCTTTGAGGGTCTACCTTTGGCTTCTATAATTTCGGAACGTGTTTATACAGCACATGGAGGACTTTTCCGTAGCACAGTATTGCCTAAGAGAGCAAGGGGAAAGAAAAACCGTCGAGTGCTTCTTCCAGAACCTGAACCGGCTTCATTGAAACTCGGAACTTTAGAAGAGTTGATGCAAGCTCGAAGATCAGTTCTAGATCCTCCTTGGGAAGGTTCAAATTTGATTCCTGGAGATGTTTTGTGGTCTGATCCTTCAATGATTCCAGGCCTTGCACCAAACGAACAACGAGGCATTGGTCTTCTTTGGGGTCCGGATTGTACAGAGGAGTTTTTGAAGAGATTTGAACTAAAGGTGACACCAACAAAACTACTATATTGATTCTTGCTTGCTTCTAGATACTGATTTGGATCAACTGTTTTACTTGTATTGATGCAGTTAATCATCAGATCACATGAAGGTCCAGATGCTAGAGAGAAGAGAGTTGGACTAGCTGGGATGGACAAAGGATACACAATAGATCATGAGGTTGAATCCGGAAAGCTTATCACTATTTTCAGTGCTCCAGACTATCCACAATTCCAGGTATTTTCTAATAACCATCGATGATTAAAGCCGATCGAAATCTTTATTTCGTTGTTGTTGTTTGTGGTACAGGCAACAAAAGAGAGGTACAAAAATAAAGGAGCATATATTATATTGCAGGCTCCTGAATTCTCCGACCCTCAGTTTAAAAGTTTTGACGCAGTTACTCCACGGCCAAAGGTAAATTGATTCATCATTCTTAGGAGTTAACCAAATGATTCTTTTTTGTTGCCGTTTGGATACTTAGTGACATTCATTCTTTTTACACGCAGGCACATCCATATTATGATTTTGAGAATGTGATTGATTCTGATGATGAGATGGATAAGTCGGCAATGGACACCAACGACGAACAACCAAATCACTGATCGTGACAATAGCTGAAAAGGAGAATCTTGAAGTGAAGATTTTTTTATAGTTTTTATGATTGATCATCATTTGACAACAAAAGAAAAATGGAACCAGATGTAAAAAAAAAAAGAGATGATGGAAATCAAACTGTTATTTTAAGTTGAGAGACTATTGGTAGAATTAACATTTCAGTTCTTTATGTTATGGTTAAGGGTGTTTTCTCATGTGTAATCTGTTGCGGAAGCAAAGCTTGAAATATAACTTACTGTCGACCTTACACTAAAGCTTTTAATGAATGTTTTCAAAATCATCTCTCAACAACACCGATATTGTTAGAAATCCTGAAATGTTATCTAAACTCAACCATTTTTATCTTTCTTTCAGTAAGATGTTCTCGAGAACCAGTCTGTTTGTATATGACTGGCCCTAGACAGACCAACCGGTCACTGCTATGCTATTTTTCGCTATATGTATAAAAGTGGTTAATCTCTAATTTACTTGCCAAATCACAAAGTAAAAAGTTTTGAGACATAAACCTTTAAAAACTCGCACAGCCCATGTGGGTGTTGGTTTTTTACTGTGTACTTTGTTCATCGACAAACTTCGACATCTACTCACTTCAATGTTTTTTATACTTTCATGTGCATAAAGTTTTTGTCTTAACAATAATAGTTTTTGCACTTCATGTCAAGCCTAAATTATATCATAGGTCTTATCTTGTCTCTCTAATAAAACCTCTGAAACTGTTTTAAAGTCACGTGCCTTGAATTTCCAGTTCTTTTCACATAACTCCCATTTTCGATAGAATAGTTTAGTAATGACGTTTTATTTCATCAGATTATAAAAGATAATGCCACAAAATGTATGTGTGATGAATGAAACGTACTCATTATGGAAGAGGTAACGACATATGTCACAATTAGAGACTATCTTGATCTAGAGTTTTGTCTCGTTGACTTTAATGCCAAAATCGGACAATACCTATGAATCATGTATTTGGCAGTGCAATAATGTATTTCTTCATTTAATTTTCTAACTAGAGATGTGACAACTGAAAAGTTGTCACTGACAAGCATATAATGTTGGTTTTTAAATTTCGATTGAAACTTTTAGTTTCGCATAAATGTTTTAAGTCGAGGTGATAGTCGGATGAACAAGAATTTCGTCGATATTAATAGCATCCATATTTCAAGACCATTTGGGTTTTTAACGTATTAAAAAAAAGCACCTAGTAACCGCTTGTAAATATTTTTCCATTTTCCAAAAAAATGAAACTTATGATTTGATATTTGGATACTTTACGTTTTTATATATATTTGGAATCTATATTTATGTATTTGAATTAAATATCTGGACAGTACTAATTTGGATCTATATTTGTGTGTTTGAATATGTAGAACTATATTTTGGATAGTTTGGTTTTAGAATCAACAACATATAGCAAAACGGATGGCGAAAATGTTTTTGTTTTTGTATTACAGATGTATATATATGCATGTGGACTATGAAACTCACGAAAATATTGACTATAGTTTAGTAGTTTGTAAATTTTCATACGTGTGCATGACTCGATCTGTGTGCGTTACACGTGAATCTATGATCTATGTGATATATAGTAATAATTTGTCAATTGCATGTAAAAATGTACATTAGGAAAACCACTTAATATCGATTTATATATTTTTGAAGCGCATATATGAAATGCATCACTGAGTCTAGAATTTCATACAAATTAACCATTAGTCAAAACAAACAGCGATCGAAAACTCTTTACCTTTGTTTACTCTTTGACGTTTAGTCAAACATAGATTGAATTGAACTCCCAAAGTGATTCTTTATTAGACCATAAATGTTTGTAACTAGTGAATCGGAATACATTAAGGAAACATAAGTGACCTAGCAATCCCAGTAAGATGAACCAATTAAAGAACTAACGTAAATTAGTTTGAATAATTTTGTAACTTATTTTGATCTGGTTTATGGTATAAATAGTTTTACTTGTAACGTTTTTTTTGTTATCCCTCAAGATTTTTCTATAAAAAGTTGGGAAACAAATAACGGAAAATGAATGGACAAGGTCAATTAATGCGAAGAGGAAAATGAAACGGTCAATTAAAAAGTATAAACTTACCGGTGAGGTCCGTATTTGTATTATTTATGTGAGGAGGGACCCGTCTGCAATTAAAGCCTGTACTCTTCCTTTTTCTCATATCCGTGCACCACGCAAGAGGCAAACATATTACTGTGCGGTTAAAAAAAACCTTATCAATAATATATAACCAAACAATAGTAATAGTAAAATTAAGACTATTAGAATCACTAGTTTCTTCTTCTTTTTTTGTGTTAAGGGAATCACTAGTTTTTTCAGTTATTTTTTTATATATATATAAAAGCCTGTTTTCACATATTTTAAGGAAAAGTTTTTTTTTAAAACAATTTTCTCCTTAGCCAAAATTATAAATATCCAACATTCGTACTCGCTAGCGCAGGTAATAATTATATTTGTAAAAAATAAAATAAAAACATTTTGAGGAAATAAAAAAAGAAATTTTGACATGTGCAAATCTACATCGCGCCTTTATTAAAAATCTACTGCTCACTTTGGCTCCCCAACCTCTCCTCCTTCACCCTCTCTTTACGGATAGTGAAAGAGAAGCTGCAAATTTCCCAATTTATCACAAAATAGAAATTTCATATTTCAAATTAATATACTAATAAAAAAAACTCCGAACAAAAATCTTCTGCGCAGGAGAAAGAGAGAGAGAGAGCCTGCAACTGTGATCGATGGCGGAGGATATGGCGGCCGATGAAGTTACGGCTCCGCCTCGTAGGGTTCTTATCATCTCCGCTGGTGCTAGCCACTCCGTCGCTCTACTCTGTACGTCCCACCACTCTTCTTCTTCTTCTTCTTCTTGTCGGTTACGGAGATAATGATCCCCGGAATTTTGCAATCGGCGGCGTTAGAAGTCTGTGCTCTTCACGAATTTTCTCTTGATCTAACCTTTCCCGACTTGAGAAATGAGTTTCCCCAAGGATATGCTTAAGTAGCTCGATGTTTGATTTTTTTTTTTGTTTTGCAGCTGGGGACATTGTTTGTTCATGGGGTCGAGGAGAGGATGGACAATTAGGCCATGGAGATGCAGAGGATCGACCTTCTCCGACGCAACTAAGTGCCTTAGATGACCACCAAATTGTTTCCGTTACTTGTGGTGCTGACCACACGGTTGCTTACTCTGAATCACGCATGGAGGTCTACAGTTGGGGATGGTTTGTTTCTCATCATCAAACTTTCTTCTATGTTTCAGCTTTTGCTTTCTTCTCAAAAGTGCTTTTCACTACGAGATGTTGACGGCAAGCTCCTGTCTAGGTTTTGTTTCGAGAACAGTAATAAAATACACACATTTGCTCAGAATTTAAGCCTCGGATTCTCTCCCTCCATGTGTTTTCGCAGGGGTGATTTTGGGAGATTAGGCCATGGGAACTCAAGCGACTTGTTTACTCCGCTGCCAATCAAAGCATTGCAAGGTATTCTGATCAAGCAGATTGCGTGTGGGGATAGTCATTGTTTGGCTGTCACAATGGCAGGGGAGGTTCAGAGGTATTTTCTCTAACTTATCGTTTTCATCAAAGTTTGATTCTGTCAAGTGTAAGAATTTTCATATATTTAGTTTATTGTCTACATTGCCTTTCAAACAATGTTGCCGTCCTGTTTTGTTTTCCAACATATCTCTTTAACTTCTGTATGTAAAGTTGGGGGCGAAACCAGAATGGCCAACTTGGTCTGGGGGACACAGAAGATTCTCTAGTGCCTCAGAAGATTCGAGCCTTTGAGGTTTGTGTCGCTATATATTCTTCTAATAGGCGTAATGTTAACGTCTCCTTGTCATTGTAGTTTCCTGAACTTACCATAGACAATATGCTTCAGAATTGGGTCAATGTTGGGTCCATTTCTGCAACTTGCTCTTCTTTAAGATACGAAGTGTTACTAATTAAGGGTCCACATCTGGTGGAGATTTCTTCAACATATAATTTAAGTTACCGTATGTAGGAGTGGTAATTAATTGTTTTGGCAGTCGAAAAATAGATATATAATTGTGTCATACTATCTGCAAACACAGATAGAAGGTATAGGATCTATTGATAATTGCTCTGACCGGGCTGATTAGAAGATTTAGTGATGGGAGACTGTGAGTTTATGTTGTTAGTTTTTGGTTAATTCTCAGTGTCACATCAACACTTCAAAATTGTAATGGGTGCAGGGAATACGAATCAAAATGGTTGCTGCTGGTGCAGAACACACTGCTGCGGTTACAGAAGATGGTGATCTTTATGGATGGGGATGGGGAAGGTATGGAAATTTGGGATTAGGTGACCGGAATGACCGCTTGGTTCCTGAAAGAGTTACTTCTGCTGGTGTAAGCTATCAGACTCTTGTTCTCTATCTATTATGAGCACATGCTACTTGTTTAATCTGGCATTCGAAATTCAGTACTCATGAGATAAATGAAGATAGTTGTTCAACGAGCCTTGACCTCGACAAACTGCTCTATACTAGTTTAGCTGTATAGATTGATGGGGTCACAAATATATGCCATCTAGTTTCACTTGCTAGGTTTCAGGGATCAAAGCACACCTTATTTTGTGTACTATTAGGCCTTCGGTATCATAACTCTGAATGAATAATTGTTATCATGCATCCTCGCTTTTTACTTGACACTTTTTATTTATTTCGGCTCTCTTGATGCTCGTTTTCCTGGTTGTGGAAACTACAATTTAAGGGTGAGAAGATGTCGATGGTTGCTTGTGGATGGCGGCACACAATATCAGTTTCATACTCTGGAGCGTTATATACTTATGGATGGAGCAAATATGGACAACTAGGACATGGAGACTTGGAGGATCACCTTGTTCCTCACAAACTGGAAGCGCTGGGCAACAGTGTTATCTCCCAGGTTTCACTTGGGCCCTATAAATCTATCCTGAAATACATATCTGTACGTCTGAAATATCCAACAGACGGGATAGCAGCGATATTTGAACGTTAATTGCTCATTTTTTAGTCGCATGAATTAAGTACTAAAAGTTTCCTACTGTTATTGCCTGCTGAAGAAAATGGTCTCATTGTATACATTTCTGCTGCTTGTGTTCTTGTTCAACATCTTCTGACCTTTTCGGGTTTTTTTTTTAATTCAGATTTCGGGAGGTTGGAGACATACAATGGCATTGACTTCTGATGGAAAACTATATGGATGGGGTTGGAATAAGGTCAAGACTGTCTTAGCTTTTGTTTTTAACTGGACAGTATTTCGTAGGAACGTATAGAATGCAAGCTATCATCTATACA